TACTACGGTTAGATTTGCGCTGTAGAGTGCTGAATTAAGTTGGTGTTTTTTGGCAATATTGTACTTTAAGGATAGCCAACCTAGTGCCTCCACTCAATTTCATTTCTCTTCAGTGACTAGGTCAGGAATCAGAATACACTAGACGGTTTCCAAGAACCCCGGAAGTGCGAGTTCGGGCACCAGCCAATCAGCGAAAAGCCATATATTCTCTGTTGGCAATGATTCCCAAGATCGAGAATTTAAAGCTGGAACAAAGAGAATGTTTGGTGAATTTTATCAAGGGGAAAGACGTTATAGTCCTTCTTCCTACGGGATTTGGGAAAAGCGTAATATACCACTTAGCCCTGTTAGCAGTGCATTACATACATCACGACCAAACAGCAGCGATTGGTTAAATAAAAAAAAAAGTACCTGCCTGCCTTCGAGCTAACGAATCCTAATGCTGCGAAGTCCGACGGTTTCCACGAAGTAAAACTGGCTGATGAATCAGACTACTTTAAGGATACTTCAGGGGGATAATTCTGCTTTATCTTTTCAGTATTATCATCTATATTTACTTCTGCAATATATGGGACTTCAAATTTTGTTATCGTGACAGGCCTTGTGGCATTAACTGGAAGTGAAATTTGCTCAGGTTTGAGCTGTGTGGACGTTGTGTGGAGTAATCGCAGGTTTTTTATTTGAGATGTATGAAAGCTGCAGATATTGATGCTACTAAAGTGTAATATGAGTCTGAATGTTCTGAGCAAAACCCTGATGCAGAGATGAAGCAGGTCCCAGAGGAAGGCTAATGCTTACTAATGTGAAATCCTACTTTATTCACTGCATTAAAGCAACACCATGTAACATCTATGTACTACGTAGTTTCTAAAAAGGAAGAAAATGGACAGTATATCATGTTAGTTATCCTTGAGCATATTTTCAAATCATTTTACATTACACTATGCATGATAAATGACAAGAAGCAGCCTGTAGAGGGGTCATTTAAAAAGCTCTACCACACAACTTTCGATTAAATAGAGTAAAATAAAAGCATATTATGATCTGTTTTCATTTTGTTTGTGTTTATTAATGTGTCATTGTGAGCAGGAGCAGACGTCACAGCATCTCCACAGACCTGACTTTACTTCACTTGCTTGTCTCCATGGAAACGTTGATAGATTTGGCTATAATTTTCCACAGTATAGCATAAAACCTATCTATCTCCATGGAGTTTATTATTCATATGTTTCAAGATGTTTCAGATCCAAGAAGTTGTGAGAACTAAACTCGAGAAAATACATCTACTTAACCAAACACAATGCTTCAGTCATACCTACAGTACATGGCCACGTCACGGAGAGTTTAAGTGAAACTGGTCCACACTGGTCTCACTGTTGAGTCCACTGACCACTGCTGTTTGTGCCCATGTTTAGACTTTTCTGTATTTAGACTTTATCCCACACATTCCTCTCACTGGAGGGTATCCCACTGTGCCTGCATCATGACTGTAGCTCTCTGGACATGATCAGTTCAAAGTGTCATTTCATTCATAATTAATTCTAATAAAGTTTGGTACCCCTGCTTCTTCTGACAGCTCCAGTTCTGATAAACAGCTGATGGTGTGTGTGAAGTGGGTGTTTCATAATTGTTAGGATAATAGTTTAAAGTTAAATGCACTTTATTGTCCCCGTAGAGGAAATTTGTGCTACACCTGGGGATCCAGGTGTAGCAGGATCTTAGCTAAGGTCATGCTGACCAAGTCTAGCTCGAGGATTTTGTGCATGTTTTGACTTGATTGGGGAAATTGGAGTGTCCAGAAGAAAACCGTCTTGACACAGGGAGAAACATGCAAATTCTTGAAAGAAAGGCTCATGAGTCTGTGGATTCTTAACTATCATGCAGCTTATATAAAGAACAATGCTTCATTCTCTCATGATGGTTTCTGTACTTAAGCCATGTTTAAAATGATGTCATTTAATATTTATTTAACTAATCAACCTCGCGACAAATATTTCTAGTTAATCCTTTGGTTTTGGTACAGTTGTGTTTTCCCACAGTCATAATACACAATGCTAAGCACACACTGACCTAGTTGAATTATCAGGATTAATCTATCTGTGATTTCAAACGTACTATTACTTCATTCATAATATTTTAAACCACATTCACGGCTCAATAGCTAATTAAATAGTGTTAATCTCATTGAAATCGCCGCCCTCTTATGCCTTTGTGAAGGGCTTGGCAGATCTGTAAATGACTTGGCAGATGGGGCTCAATCATTCACAGCCTTACAACAAGTAATATATTTCCCACTACAGGAAACAGTAAGAGCAGAATCACAACTGTGGCTTTGCCAGCACTAATTTAAAGGTCCTATATTACACAAAATGGATTCTTTATTATGTTGTTACCTCATCAAAAACATTCCTGGAGTTGTGTTTGTTTCATTCACATGTTTAAGTAACGCTTTATTATTAGTCTCTCTACATCTCCAAAGCTGAAAAAGATGTTCTACCTGGTGAGGTCATGAAACAGTAGTTTTCAGGTTAACAGCTTGAAAACTACCATTTAGTAGATTTTAGAAGATTTTAAAAATGCATTGTAGAACTACCTGTATTACCAAATGACCTCACAAGGTGGAACAGAGAGAAGAACTCAGCCTAAATATGCAGGATTTGTGTGTTAAACGAGTGTGAATAAAACAAAAAACAAGTCCAGGTCCGTTTGTGATGATGAAACATTACATGGGCGCTTTATTATACTGGCACTTTGTCCTCTGTGTGATTGTCACTACAGGTACATTTGCAGCTGTGTAGGATTACATTCATTACATATTTGGGATTATTTTAGTTGTTAACACTTGTACACACCCTCTCTCTCTCCCTGTCTCTGTCTGTCTCTCAGTTTCAGTAATCAAGTTGTTTATGGCAGTGATGGTGAGGTCATGGGGCACTGCCATAGAGTCATTGTTCTCGACAAAAACAACTGAACAATTCCCTCTCAACCACTATTGTCTTTCTGCTGGCATTACAGTAAACACATAGGTTATGACTGTGTTTACAAAATTGAGTTGTTTTTAGTTGTCTATATACAGCATGTCCCACCTATCTTTTGGAAATGTCTGTATATGTGACGAAATTAATAATAAGATGTATACACTTAATAATGCAAATCAAAAAATGAAAATTACATTGTAACAGCACTCAAAATGTAATTAGAAATAATTTTAAAAAAATGCTAAAATTATTACGTAAATCTAAGTAGTTTCTATTTTGAATTTGTACCAAGTAAAATAAAATTTAAAAATGCTGTTACTATAAAGATACAGGGTGATAGTATGTGATGGGAGTAATTTTAGTAATTGCTGTAGTACATTTTTAAATATTTGATTTATTTGACATCACCAGGCAAAAAATACTGTTTAGCAACTCCCAGGTTAAAGAGAAATATGCCTCAGATATTAGGTGGATTATTGTTGCTGTGATAATTGAACAGTTTGTGAACAAAAGATGTCTGAATCGTAGACAGTAGTAGGAAACACTGACAACTTCCTAACAGAATAAAAGAAATGTCTAACAAAATAAAAGAAATCTTAACTGTAACATCCAGTTGTGCATTGTTGTAATCATTAGTTGAACATGGATTTCATCAGATTGCTTTAGACAGCGGGTTTTGTCTCAGGGACATTCCACCATGTTATAGCCATTTTACATCTTAAATAGAACAAGCCCCCTTTTCTTTGCTCCGAGCTGTTTGTGCTGCTTCAGCGGGCCAAATGAATGGAGCTGTCCTGGTTCTCAATGTGTGGGCTGTCTCACTGATTTGAATTATTTGTACAGTCCAGACCAGAGGATGTCAATACTGTTTTTCTACTGTCACTTTTGATATAAGGGGGTTACAGTGCAGTCTAAGCATGGGAAGTTTTCTGTCTAGACTACTGGGAAATTTGCTGGTAGTCAAAGTTCAAAACAGGAAAGATTTTTGGCAGTGGGTTTTCTCATTGATAGAGAAGACTGACCTTTGTGCCAACTTTTTTTTTTTTTTCTTAAGACATTTTTTTCTGATAAGTCAGTCCCAAAGTTTAACTAAAGATTGTATAGGGCCCCTCTAATAATAATACATACTTAATTAGTTCAAAACAATATGTAATGTTTTCCTCTCAAATTTACAAGTTAACAGTTCCTACCATAATGTCTATGGACTTGATGCTGATTTGAAGCAGTAAATGAAGCAAATAAATGATATGATTATAATTTCAAACTCAATTTTCTTTTGTGCTTGTTGTGTGGACAAACTTTAGCCAGGCTGGTGCCACCTAGTGCCTCTTCTCAGTTTAATTTCTCTACAGCGACTAGGTCAGGAATTGGAATACACTAAACTAGACGGTTTGCAAAAACCCTGGAAGTGTGAGTCCGGACACCAGCCAATCAGTGAAGAGCCATACATTCTGTGTTGGCAACGATTCTTGAGATCGAGGATTTAAAGCTGGAACAAAGAGAATGTTTGGTGAATTTTATCAAGGGGAAAAACGTTATTGTCCTCCTTCCTACAGGATTTGGGAAAAGTTTAATATACCAGTTAGCCTCGTTGGCGGCGCATTACATACGTCACAACCAAATAGCAGCGGTTAAATAAAATAAATACTCATCTACCATCGAGTGAACGAATTCTAATGCTGCAAAGTCAGCCAGTTTCCACGAAGTGAAACCGACTGATGAATCAGGCTAGACAACCTTTGGGGGGCCCCTGCAAAGCCTCTGAGAGTCCTCAAGGGGCCTTGGACTCCACTTTGAGAATCACTGAACTATAACTATGCAAGAGCTGTAGGGAACAAACACAAACATTGTGCTCTAGAACGACACTCAACAAACAATACGTTCACATGTTTTGAATGCAGCTGTGTTCTGTTTGGCATGTGGTATATAGAAAGAAAAATAGTTTGAAAATTATGAAAGATGTCAGAAATTACACTTTTTACGCATGTTAACTTAACTTTATATTCTCTTTTTTTGTTTCAGATCTGGTGAGCCCTCTGAGCTGGCAGCATGGCCCTGGTTCAGGCTCTGCCCATGTCTGCTGATGCCCCCGGTCTCTCTGGAGGGGCACGGAGAAGGCACCACTCCAACCCCTCACCCCCCACCAACCCGCCCCCCTCTGCCCTGGAGCCTATGGGGTCAGTGGGCAGCCTGGTACCCTCGCGGGCCGCTCCGTACCAGGATCACCGCTCGGATTTGGGAGCGAGGGTGAGGAAGGTTACTCCCGGGAATGCTGGTTACGGATTGGAGGTATCAATAGACTCCTTAATGCCAGTCCACACCTCCCCAATGAAGAAGCAGGGGGTAACAATGTCCAGTAGGGGGCAAGAGGTAGAAAAAGGACACTATACTTATCTGAATGAGGAGTATGTGGACGACTGGAGTGAAAATCTTGGAAACCCGATCTGTCCTGGAGGTGAGACCGATGACACAAAGGAGGGGATTAACGGGAACATGGGCGGACCTCCTCCAAAACTCATCCCAGTGTCAGGAAAACTGGAGAAGGTAAGGACATGAAGCAGCTGCAATGAATTTTTTATTTGAATTGTTTAGTAGTTCAAAATATTATAGTTCTATTTTGACATGGAAAATCTGACTTTTCTTATTTAAACACTCAGATCAGTCTGATTAATTGGTACTAATAAATTACTGAAATACCTGCTAATTTAACAATCAATAAAAAAGCTGCGTTTGATTGAAATGTTATATGTTTGTGTATCTTGCAAAGTATGACTATTGAAAAATTGCATGTTTTTTTTTTTTTTTTTTAACAGTAATTTATAGACTAAAATTAGACATTGCAGCACGATTACAATAATACCAGGATGTTTTCTGGACAGTACACTACTGGGAAATATTTTATTTTTGACGGTGGTGTAAAAAATACTTGTGTACTTATTTCTGAATTTTCTCAATTAAAATAAAAATAAAAAATGAAGTAATTGTTTAACTAAATTAGGGTTGTAGTCTAATGAAGAAATTCTTGGTTGACTAAAGACATGTCCTGCTGATTGATTAGTTGACTAAAAAAGGGGCATGATAAAAGCTCTCAAAACTATTATGTATCTATGAATCTGACCCAAACTGCACTCACAAAATTACAACAACACAGAAGTTCGTGCAAAAACTGTTCATACAAAAAATACTAAGAAACAATGCATTTATATGTAAAAACACAAATTCCCAAATCTCCCTACCTTCTCCTTTCGGCTGTTGTCTAAAGGACTATACTCGTAGCTCTAGTCTTCTAAAATATTTATTTGCCATTCTTGAAAATAATGCCTTATAAAAGAATTAACAATTAATCACTACCCAAATAAAACATAAAACAACTTCTCTTTTTCTTATAGAACATGGAAAAAACTGTTCTTCGTCCAACTGCGTTCAAACCCGTCATTCCCAAAAGCCGCACATCGATGCAGTACCTGTCACCACGGCACTGCGCCATCGCCCCCGACAACCAATCCAACCTGAACCTGCTGAGCCCCACCCACAGAGAGGTCTCACCCCCCTCCCCCGACAAACGCAGCTCCTACAGCGGCAGCAGAAACGCAGGCAGCAGTAATCAGTCCTGCTCCCTATCCGATTCAGGGAGGAACTCTCTCTCCAGCCTGCCGCCGTATGGAGGAGTGGGGTATGGCATGGCATCCAGTGAGGTCTCCAGTGGTCATCTGGAGAAGAGCGTTCAACCAGGAAATGCACACGGACACTCAAATTCAGATAGTGGGAGATCTTCGTCGAGTAAAAGTACAGGGTCGGGGTCGCTGACTGGGAGGGGGCAGCCTTTGTCGGACAGTGGGTCAAACGGGCGCTCCCCTGGTCCCGTGGAAGGATACGAGGGAATCGTGAGAGACCTGGAGGATAAGCTCAGAGAGAGGGACATGGAGCTACAACTGCTCAGAGACAATCTGGATGAGAATGAAGCAGCCATTTGTCAGGTGGGTTAAAAGCACACAGCTACATGTCAGACATAACATTATGGCTATATGGGCTGATTATTTTTTTATGACACAAGTGGGTTGATTGAGTAGACCTAGAGATATAATGATATCTAAATTGCTCAATACAATATTCTCACGATATACATCTCATGGTTTGATATTTATTGCAATATTTGTGGAGGCTAACAAAATGGGAATATGATACTTTTTCCTGTTGAAATGCCTTGAAAAACCATTTTGTTATTTTTTCACGTAGGCGGCTCTGAAACAGCAGAGGATCATGGTCTATGTAGTTCCTTCTGTTTTTTAGCTACTGCTGCACCAACAACGAATTTAAGCATCGAGACTTGTAATTTAATTGCGTGTGATGTGCATATTACTGTGAGTCCTCTGACGATATGATATTAAGATATTTTGGTTATTGTTACATTCCTATGAGTGGCAGATCAAAAAAGAATGGCAAAGTTGCTCAGAATTCACATATTTGACTGAATTCAGCCTTCTTTTGCTATAGATCCTAAATAGACATCTGCAGGGTTACACAAACATTAAAATTTTGGGTATTTGTTTTTGTTTTATTGTGTATTTGTAACGGAAAGAACAAGCAAGTGTATGTATTATAGATATAAACATAGGGATCCTCAAAAAGACAAAAAAATACAATTTACATGTGTGTTTACAGTTTTATCACAATTCTTATACATGTGGTAGCTTTATATTGCCTTAAAATTTAACTTGAGTGTTCTGATGGACACTTCACTTTGATTGGTTGTATCCATCTGTCACTCACTTACAGCAAAATAGATCCTGACCAATAAGAGGATAGGGTCGGGGAAGTAGATGGTAGAAGAAAAGCACTGAATCACAAATATAATGATGTGATTGTGATACTTTAAAATAAGGCAGCTATATTTTAGACAACATGTTGAATTTAATTATGACTGATAATAATAATAAATAATAGACAAATGATATGGCTGACCTACAGTGTGCTGATTTGCAGGTGTATGAGGAGAAGCAGAAGCGTTTCGAGCTGGAGATCGAGGAGTTGAGGCAGAACTGTGCGACCAGAATGCAGACTGCCTCTCAGAAAGCTCAACGTGCGCAACAGGTCCTACAACTACAGGTCAGTTTAAAAAAAACAAACAAAAAACAAAGATGCTATATCTAATGTTTTGCTGTATTAAAAACATAAAAAACTTAACTGTCTGAAGGGCTCCAAAGTTATTCCTCACTTTCCCAATGCATTTTTAGCATCTTAATTATTCACCACAATCACATTATAAGCACTGTGCGAGGAGTGGAGTCACAACAACTAGCATGCTAACAGCACACCAATGTTACTCACTGGTTCACGGACGATAAAAATCCTCAGTAATTAGATTCAGACAACACACACTGGTCTAATATGGACCATAAGAGCTCTGTGCTGGGCTGGGGCAAGACAAATGTTAAAAATTGGGTACAGGCCCTTGGATTTTTGACTTTTAAGCGTTGTGTTGTGTGTGTGTGTGTTTGTGTGTACAGGTGTATCAGTTACAGCAGGAGAAGAGGAAGCTACAGGAGGATTTTGGTCAACTCCTTAAAGAGCGCGAGCAGCTGGAGGAGAGGTGCACTTCATATGAACATGAGAAAATACAACTGGGACCCCGACTGGAGGAGACCAAGTGGGAGGTGAGATTGCGACATTTTAGACATTTATAATACGCTCCTCTATCTCAAATTCACTATATTATGTAAACAGACCGGCCATAATCAGGTGTAGTTTAGGGCCTGTTAACACGAGAACGCTTGCCGTGCCCATGATAAATCACACATAAATTAAAAGCATTCTAATTGAAGCATCCATCAGAATATGAATTGAAAAGTTACGACTTCAAGAATTACAATCACGAAATGAAATGAAACGGTTACACTTTCTTCAGTACAAATACAAATTCACAGACGCGACTTGACTGCCATCACTTCACAGGCATTATTTACTGAGCCGAAGAAACATTGATCAAGATGCTGGACTTTTGCGACACACGCGCCACGGACTAAACCAGGACTAAACCAGGACTAAACCAGGACTAAACCAGGACTAAACCAGGACTAAACCAGGACTAAACCACGCTGCAGGGAGTTAAGTGCAGCCATCACCAGATCGCGCTTTGCGGACACACTGCTCCACGGGCTCGGGGTTCTCCCTCTCTCTTAAGTCCAAGATTAGTCCTGGTGTAGTTCTGGTTTAGACCTGACCCGCTCATGTGTAATCACTACCCGCCCGCATTCCCGTCCGTAAAATTCCACAACGTTAAAACCCGCTCGTTTCAGTGACTATTTGCCCGACCCGGTGCAGGACTCTGATGCAGAATTAAAAGAGACGATAAAAAGATGAGCTGCCAATTTTGCATCTTCTGTTCAGACTGCCATCATATAAACGTAGCCTTAGACCAAAGCCTCAACTGGTTATTTGAGGGGCCGAGTACATTACATACTTTTTTCTTTTTGGTATTTTTTTAATTTTATTTTCACAAGTCATGAACAAAATACCATGAAATTGTGAAAACCAGCAATATGACAGGGTTTTAAGCACTAGGAAAAGTTTATATAGATTTACTTCCTTCCTCTACTTAATACTTTCTTGGTTTGTAAGGTTTTTTTTATCATGGATTTGGTCTATGGATCTTTTCCGAGTGTACCTGTTGTGATTATCTAAAGCCTGAATTTATAGAAGGTACTCTTGACATTTTATTGCTTCAATCAATATGTAAATCAATGCACACTCAGGGGACGGAGTGAGGTTTTCTGTGCTTACAAAAGAAGAGAAAGTAGAATAAGTCTTTTTGTACATGAGCATAAAAAACTTCACACTGTATCTTGTATTTTTCCAGGTGTGCCAGAAGTCAGGGGAGATCTCTTTACTGAAGCAGCAGCTGAAGGAGGTGCAGGGGGAGCTAGCGCAGCGCGTTGGAGAAATCGTTTCATTGAGAGGCCAGCTGCGAGAAACCAGAGGAGAGCTCACCAACACACAGGTCCTGCTACAAGAAACTCACGGCATAAACCGAACCAGGACTTTAGAGCTGGAAGTTTGCGAAAATGAACTACAGCGACGCAAAAGCGAAGCAGAACTACTAAGAGAGAAAGTGGGACGACTCGAGGGCGAGATCGTGCAACTTAGAGACGCGTTAGCCAATCAGGGGCCAGGAAATCGTCAGTGTCAAGTTTTCCAGGAAGCAGAGGAACATCTTTTGGCGTTTGAAAGCGACGAAGCAAAAGCACAGAGACAAAGCCATACAGAGGCGATGCAGAATATTAAACTACAAATGGACAGGATGAAGAGTGAACTCACTTTTGAACGGCAGAGAGCGGAGGAGCAGTTGGTGAATTTTGAAGAGGAGAGAAAAGTATGGCAAGAAGAAAAGGACAAAGTTATTCGCTATCAAAAGCAGCTTCAGCAGAATTATGTTCAGATGTATCGGAGGAACAGAGAGTTGGAGCAGCATCTACAGGAGCTGAGCCAAGAACTGGAGAGCAGAGATGATGACGACGGGAGCGGAAATGAAATAAACTTTGATGAAATCGCCGCAACAGAAATATGAAAAAATATGACCCAACCATCTCATTTGCACTAGTTTCATTGGTTTTCTGTTCCTCCCATATGACACAGAGTAGAGATCAGGTATAGTACTATGATCTGGTATCACTGCAAATGTGTGGATGGATGGCATATAATAGGCTAAAATTAATTAAAGATGTGCTGTGTAACATTTCTGGTGTTTGCTACCACCTTATCTCCTCTCTAAGCTCACCTAGATTCCCAGCGCAAAACAGTGCGGCGCAGGACACATTTTGAAAGCCTCATTGTGGGCGCGGGCGGGAGCAAACTAAATATGAGTGTAAAGTGAAATATACAAATGATGAATGTTTGCCTATTATACATCATTTGTGCTGGATATTTTATTTGGCTTTAATAATAACCCTTTAAATAGTCTAAACTAGAGGACATGGGTTAATCTCGTGCACATTTTAGACAATACCTTTCCGCTTCTCTGTTTTTGATAGTTTTAGAAAGCGAATGTTTGCGGGTGGGAGTCCGACAAAATATCACTGGTGCGTGCGGGATCGGGACTGAAAATTATAATTCTTTGTGGGCGCGAACTAGCCAGACTAGCGCCACCTAGTGCCTCCGCTCAATTTCATTTCTCTCCAGCGACTAGGTCAGGAATCAGAATGCACTAGATGGTTTGCAAGAACCTCAGAAGTGCGAGTTTGGGCACCAGCCAATCAGTGAAGAGTCATATATTCTGTGTTGGTAATGATTCCAGAGATCGAGAATTTAAAGTCAGAACAAAGAATGTTTGGTGAATTTTATCAAGGGGAAAGACATTATTGCCCTTCTTCCTACAGGATTTGGGAAAAGCTTAATATACTAGTTAGCCCTGTTAGCGACGCATTACATACGTCACGACCAAACAGCAGCGATTGGTTAAATTAAAAAAAAGTACCTGCCTATCGTCAAGTGAACAAATCCTAATACTGCAAGGTCAGACGGTTTCCACAAAGTGAAACCGTCTGATGAAGAAGGCTAGGGCTGAAAACTCTGTCCTGCACAGACCTCTACTTGGAATGTTCCATAGCAGGGCATTACACAAATCTATCTTGTATTTATGTCATTATGAATTACTTTTTTGCTCAAGAAAAACTCAAAAAAACACGTATTCTTACTGCGAGTGGGCTTGCCTCTCCTCAGATCTATCCAGGTGTATCTAACTAGGTTTAGTGGCATCACATGCTTGACTAATGCTCTGCTGTGGAACATTCCAGACAAAACAGTAACATCTCCATGGAGACAAGCAGATAGCAAACCCTCTACAGAAAAAATATAACGCAGTGCAGCTTTAAGTGTATAATTTGTCCTCAGTGCTCTTGTTGTAGAAATTTTTAAGTTAAAAAAATTTGTTTCAGCAGTCTTTTTGTGATGGTTACTGGGTCTGGGTATCTCCAAATCGTCCTCTTGTGCTGGTTCCAGTCTGTCATGGTCAGAATGTTCAAAACTGGTCCATTGTAAGAACAGTAGTAAAGCTAATGAGCTACTGGTTTAACGCTATAGTTGCCATTAAAAGCTTCTAATCTCAAACTGTTGCCTTTTTAAGTGTCATGGGTTCATAAATACACAGAAGTTGCAGTATTCCCAACTGGGACCTGCCTCTCGGGTCTCTCCTTCTCAGTAGATCATGAACTCTATTAGCCGTTAGTAGGTCAGGCCAGGCCTCAAGTACGAACTTTTCTTTGTACCAATTTCTCATCTTTGTAACAAAAATCAGATTGTGGATGTCGTTTTGGAAAAAATGCAATGTGCTAAACCTGTACATGTCATCATTAAAGGTGTACTATGTAGCTTTCCACCTGCTTGTTTCCATAGAGGTGTAATTGCTTTGCCTGAAAAGTATGGCATAGATATCTGTGAAGAGCTATTTTTTTAAGAATGACAACACCTGTAATTTAATACATTTGAGATAGATTGGCATACTGAGGAACATTCCAGGCAAAACTTTATATCACTATGGCGAGAAGCACATGGCAGGCTCATTTCCCTACCCTATAAATGACCTAAAACATATTAAAGGTAGAAGTACCACAGAAAAAGTGAATGGACCATAAAACTGACCACAAAAACAGTTTAGAAAATTAGACTGCGAGTTTATATTCTTCTTATTTTTTTTTTTTTTTTAATCAGCTTTTGTGCATCATTTTGTCATTTCTGTTATTATAAAGGAAAAACTTGATATTCAAAGTCTTGCACACCTTTAGATAAATTCTGTATCTCCCACCTCTCTACATTTGTGACAGTTCTGTGACTAACTCTCAACCTTTCACTCTCCTCCCACTGTGGTGTTTGTATGACTGGTCGGCCCGCTGGCTTTAGCACTCTCCACTCCCTCTGAATGTGTTAAGAGTAAGGTCTCTATAGTCCAGTTAATTCACATGAAGCCAGTATTTAACTACAAATGTGGGAGTCTACACATCCTGTGCTCTGTGCTGAGTCATTCAGACCTGAAGGAGGCGCCAGCAGCAATATTTGTGACGTGATAAAGCAGTGTTTTCATCAAGTGTTCAAGGTTGTTTAAATGTAGGAGTTTTTAAATGCCACAGTTGTGTTACTATCACATTATTTCTTTGTTTTAGATTTGCTACCAAACCAAACTGTTAGTCAGTGATTGAAAGAGAACTGATTAAGGACATCAGTGCCGATATTGACAAATTTTGATGAATTGGACAATTTCCAAAATATCCCTTCAGCTGATATCACCTGATTATAGATCAAAATGGGATAAGATTTAAGAATTTACAGGGCAGTGCTCACCCAAAACATCTTATAATATTTTTACAGAGCTGCTTTAGTATCAGCATCGATATCAGAAGAGAAAATGCAGAATCTCTAGTGCTGACAATTTGTACTCAAGTAAAAGTACAGTTATTGACGTTACTCAATTACAAGTGCTAAAACTGTACTTCAGTAAAAAGTACAGACTTTTAAACAGAATTTTAGATCACTTTTCTACACAAGTGTCAGGACCAAAACAACTACACTATTAATGTAGCCAAGTGCTGATTTAAACCAGAAAATGCGTTCACAACCATGGACTGTATAAGTGTGATCATGACCCAGATTGATAATATTGACGACAATCATGGTTAAGTTAATTATTACACAACGTTATCACATTTTATCTCAAGCGCTTTCAAATAAGAGCAAAAGCAAAATGGACAAAGTAGCCGTGACTATAGTCAGCCTGTTTTGAATATTAATATTTGACAAATTATATTAGAGAGTTCATAACTCTTACTGGATATTATGTTATTTTAACTGTTTAATACATTTCCATAAATATACTATTTGTAAAGTATAATTAAACTAAGATTCTGTATATTATTGGTTGCTGTTCTGTCTCAAAGCATCAGAATAATCCTCTTTCAGTTCAACTGTATATTGCTACTATAGGAAATATTAACTAGTCTTTGTATTTAAGTTCCTACTCCACTGTACATTGACTTCCCTGTTTGGATCAGAACACACCCACACCAACAGAAGGCTCTTGTTGCTGCTGACTGAATATAACTTTGTATAAATATTTTCCACATCTGGACAGAAACTGGTTATAAATGAAGTTTTTCAGAGATGAGAGATGAAACACAGACACTGTGAATGACCAAAGCAATGTCCCTTGTATTTTGCCCCTCCACAGTAATGCTTGTACATTATCGGATCTATGTGGAAGTTTGTTTTTCAGTGTAATTTTATAATTTACAATATTTGTATGAGGACATTAAATGTATATTTTCATGCTGTACATTCTTGAACAAATTTATGTTTTATTAAAAATACCTGATGTAGTATGTCTGGTTTATTCCTCATTCACATGGGTTTTTAACTTCCTGTTTGTAGGAGATCATGGAGGTGGGTCAAATGCAGAGGACAAATGTTCCTATGAGGACAGTGTACCTTAAGCTTAACCAGTAATGAGCTAAAGAAAGAAACAATTATTGTAAAGGGTTTATCGACTTTATAACATGAAACTCATTATTATCTATGCTCAAATTCATATACTGAAGAACAAATAATACAGTTTTTAATCCCAACTCCAATACATTTTCCTTCCATGTTTATAAAAACAAAAAGGACTACACTTAATTTCCAAATGTCCTCAATCTGTTACTGTGTTATCTTATAAACGTTTGCAGTAAGTGGCTCTTGTCTGCCCCCTACAGGAAACAACTACGTACAAATGACACTGTCTTCATGGTGTCAGATGATTTTATGACCACAGACATTTAAAAACACTCAGGTTTCAATTTGCAGCTCATCAGCCTGCGTTTAATAATTCAAGAGAATGAGGACACCCACTCCTCGTGAATTGGCTGGATGGTTTTGTTACAGAAAAAAATCAGTTAATAAAATACTATCATCCAGTTTTGCTGCCGTCATAGTCCATTGTTCAAGCAAATCGAAAAAAAACCCTGCATATTTAAAAGAAACGTTTCTGTTTATGAGAAATATTTCTGTTTTTGTTTGTATTATACAACATTCAGAGGTGGGTAGTAATCAGGGACATAGTTACACTGACCTGAGCAACTTTTGAGTGCACTTTTACTTTAAATAGTTTAATTATTACACAACATTTTTTAATTTTTAGTAGTATTTTGAAGGGACAGTACTCTACTTGTGCAAAATGTGTGGTTACTCCTCACAACACGCATAAGTCAGTGAGCCAAGCTTTGTGATGATATTATAATAAAATGGTGAAGATGTATTGTAAGTATTTAACTTTTCAGGCCCGGGATACCCCTAAAAATTGAATGACCCTCCCACTAGTGAAGGTGTATAGAGTTTAAAAACACAGTGGAGCACTTCCTGTATCACCACATGACATCACAAGGTGGAACAGAGTGTTTTCAGTTTGAGAAAAGAACTCTAAAGTCTAAGGGTTTGCATATTAAAGATGTATGAATGAAATAAAACATAACTCCAGGTCTGTTTGTGATGAGGAAACATTATAACATAGATAGGAAAATAGTGTAATATGGGCCCTGTAAATGACATGTATACCGCAAAATCTGATGTGAGTTATCAGAGGGAGCATCATCAGAAAGAAATTAGATGATTTTGCTGTTTACATTTCATTTTATTAATAGTCTTATAATTAAAAAAATGTTAATAATCAGATTTTTGACGTGCATGTAACCACAGCCAATGTTCTATAGTACTCTCTACCCACCTCTGACTAGATTTAAGTTGTTGTGACTAAACTCTTGTGTCTGTGGCTTAGTTCAAGTGCAGCAGAGTCCAGGCTGATCCTCTTAAGGATTTTGTGGGACTTTGACGACAAAAACCATGGGGTCTTTGGCCTTGTTACTGAAGGCTTTTCGGATAATGTCCACAGCGTGTTGATGAGTGACTCCCTGTAAAGACACTCCGTCCACCGACACCAGCTCAAATCCAGCCTGACAACACAAACATAATACAAATGTGAGTAAGCAGTACTGGCGTGCAACAAAATCACTACATCTTGACAAATATCGTTTCTCTTGTAGTATCAAAAAGTATAAAAAAAATCAGATACTAATCAATACTAAAAACTAATATCGAAAGCAGATACTCATTTGAGCAGAGATTGATACTAAAATGATCACAAACAAAACAGAATTTAACCTTTCTTGAACAGTTTTAGAACAATCTCAATCATCAGCAGTACTGGCGTGCAACAAAATCACTACATCTTGATAAATATCGTTTCTCTTGTAGTATCAAAAAGTATCAAAAAAATCAGATACTAATCAATACTAAAAACTAATATCGAAAGCAGATACTCATTTGAGCAGAGATTGATACTAAAATGATCATAAACAAAACAGAATTTAACCTTTCTTGAACAGTTTTAGAACAATCTCAATCATTATTAGGACTTAGACCACATGCTAACATAAGAAGAAAGTTCTTTTATTTAGTGCTATTGTCTAAAAAGGCACTTATTATTATCTTTATAAGGCTGAAATCTTATTATTATCTATTAGTATTGTGACAACACTAGCTGAGAGTTCTGCTTTAGATTCACTACACAGCAAGTTAAATATAGTAGAGTTATTTAAGTTTACTGTCAATGCAACACATCTATAAAGAGAAATATGAAATCATTACAAACTATGCATTTTAAACTATGCCGTATAAAAATTTTAATAAAATAACACCATTAATCTAACCTTTAGTACTTCACTGGTTGAAGCTGCTCCTCCAGGAAAAATCTTCTCTATCTTTATAATTGGCTGAACCTTTGATTCCATGCCACCAGATATACTGATACCTACAGGAAAAAACACATTATACACAGAAGCTTCAAGTTATTTTTGTTAGTTAAATGTGTTTGTTAAAGCCACAGTGTCTTTATTTAAAAAAAAAATCACTATGTAACCTTTCTGGTGGAGGGCCCATTAATTTACTTGTGTCCATGGAGGTGTTATTGCTTTGTCTGGAATGTTCCACAGTATGGCATTACGCTTAACTATTTCAAGCAAGCAAGTGTCGTCTGGCGGGCTAAGTTACAAGTCAGGTCTGTGGAGAGGGGAGCCCACCCACCGTAAATGAACAATGTTTTTTTAAGTGTATTTCTAACACCTATAATTAAATAAAAACAAGATAGATACTTTTAATGTCATACTATGGAACACTTGAACACACTTCCACTTCGTAGAAACCGTCTGACCTCGCAGCATTAGGATTCATTCACTCACGATAGGCAGGTACTTTTTTTATTTAACCAATCACTGCTATTTGGTCGTGATGTATGTAATGCGTCGCTAAAGGAGCTAACTGGTATATTAAGCTTTTCCCAGATCCTGTAGGAAGAAGGGCAATAACGTCTTTCCCCTTGAAAAAATTCACCAAACATTCTCTTTGTGCTTTAAATCCCTGATCTTGGGAATCGTTGTCCACACAGAATGTCTGGCTCTTCACTGATTGGCTGGTGCCTGAACTCGCACTTCCGGCGTTCTTGCAAACCGTCTATTGTATTTTGATTCCTGACCTAGTCGCTGAAGAGAAATTAAATTGAGTGGAGGCATTAGGTGATGCCAGTCTGGCTACAGGTGGCAGACAGCCCAGCAGAAAAGGTACACAGTGCACCTTTAACAACGTGTAATCAATAGGCCTAGCACAAAGTACCACAAAGGCTGTATTTTACTTCAGTATATTACCTCAGTACTACTTAGATCTTTACCTAGAGATTGCTTAGTCTTGGAGATGCTGACCGTCTTGAGGTCGTACTTCTCTTCAGGCCCTGTCCCATTGAGTCCATTCTCAGATAAATGTCCGTTCACATTTCTCTGTTTTGGTCCAAACTCGGGGTGAACACTTGGGACAGCAAAGGCCGACTTCTGTTTGAGGCACTTTGAAGCGTAAACAAAACCTCCTTTTTACCTTTGGAGTGTCCGTTCCTAAAAGGGGACCTGCCTCTCTCAGAAGTTGCATTGCTTTTATCTGACACTGAATGTAGTGAAACTTCGTCAAAATGAACCGAGCGGACAGTTCCTATGTCAGTTCTTAGGGGGGAGCGGGAGTCTTCGGCGCGAGCCAGGAGCCAGTTGGGGACCATGGGGCTGGAGGGAGGTTTGAGGTTTGAGGATTCAGAGTGGTAACCGTCCACTGGTATGTCTAACAGAGGGGTGAAGGCACTGGACGTGTGGGGTCTGGGCCCACGAGGAGCAGTCAGACTGAGCTTCTCCAGTTGCTCCAGTAGGTGGCTCTCTTTCTCCACCTCCTCAGCATGGTGTAGCTCAAAGCCGCCTCTGTAGTCTGTATGAACAAAATGTCAAAAGAAACAGTAATAAAAGAGTATGTTGTTATAAATAATATATACATACAACATATAATACTACAGTTTAACTACTATGAATGCCAAAAGAAGTAAGATGTAGATTAAGGAACATTTGCAAACAAATTATCCAAGTTAATGCATTATTCATTTACTTCAATGTCAAACTCATAGTGATAAGTACTTTTAAAGTAGAAGTGGGCAACACATCAAATTACTGATAATAAAAAGATAATATTGGGTACAATGGAAATAGTAATGGAAAAAAGCTTGTTATAATCCTTCACAAAGGGGTATAAAGCGATTTTAAGCTCAAGTAAAATGTTTACAGACCTGTCAAAATATCTTTTGTTGATTATCATACACACACAGATTAATACATAAGAAAGGTGGTTGAAGCACCTTGCCCAGAGATGGAATCAAAGCATCAAACTAGGACAAAGATCTTCCACAGGACCAGTGTTTCTATATATAGTTCTGCACATTTAATGCAGCTTTAATCAGAAACAGACCTGGGATGGGTGTGATGAGGTGCCTTTTGGGGGTCCGACCTGCGTTGGGGGAGCGAAGTGGAGGAGTTCGGACTAAAACACACAAAATATTATGAGTTAAGTTATATTCATTTTAACTTCCTATTATCAGCGACAATTAAGGGCCCAAAAGATTTGATATTTTGTTTTAAATTGTTTATCCCTATGGCAATGGTCCCAACTGTCCATGATTCTGAAAACCATGGATATTAAAATCATTTGTGTTGCATTCATAAATTTAATACTGACTTGAGCGATACTTTAGGATGTCATAGGCCTCAGCTTCGATTGGGGCTACCATGCTGTTGAATAAAGTGAGGTCAGACGGAGAAAGCAGCATCCTGAAAACATAAAAAAATACATAATTATTCAATATTTACTGTACAAATGTTATTAGCTGTCTGCTGTATCCCTGTGTAACACTGGATTTAATGCGATTATCATGAGAAAGCTCTAATCTCCTTGGGACCCTGATGTAATACCACTGTTTACAAATTCATTAAAGGCTGCTTGTTTTAACATATGGTAAATTAAGAGTTTACTGTACATTTTTAAAAGGTGCTCAGTGTAACTTTTCACCACCTGATTGTCTCCATGGAGATGTTATTGCTTTGATAGGACTCTTCCACATTATGGCATTAAACCTTACTGAATTACTTGAAAACATGCACTCTTATTGTGATGTGGGTCTCTGCTCCATAGATCAGACCTGTAACTAAGACAAGATCTATGTGCTTGTCTCCATGGAGATAGTTGAAAGTTTTATACCATACTGCTGACCGTTACAGGCAAAGCAATAACATCTGGAGAAAAACAGAAAAGTTACGTAGTGCACTTTTAAATTTGATTATATAAACATAAACATAGATTTTATTTTCTTCTTACCTTGCTTCTCTCAGCAGTAGTAACTTTTCAGGTCTGTCCAAAATGCCCAGTAGGTGGCGTATGAAGGTTTCTACTGACTGTTCTGCTATGTACTAGAATAAAAAAGCAAAACAAATACTGAAATAAATAATAATACAAATATATATAACTATTAGGCATTATTTCTGATTAGACTGACTGTGGTTATAACTGCTATTTTGTCTATTTAAATGTTTTAATAGGGATTCTAACAGAAAGCCTACATCATATTTTTTGTTGAAAATCACTTTTTGGTGAATACACACATATGTTGTAAAAATATAAAAATGTTTACAGTTTTACACCAAATTCAGTCATGGGGACCTTTGCTGTTGTATCCTGATTCATCAGCCGGTTTCACTTTCTGGAAACCATCTGACCTCGCAGCATTAGGATTTGTTCACTTGATAGTAGGCGGGTACTTTTTTATTTAACCAATCACTGCTATTTGGTCATGATGTATGTAATGAGCCAGAATGCTCAGTGGTGTTCAAGTAATTGTCGGCACAACAGCAAACAAAACCGAGAGTGAACATGTCTGTCAACGATCATTGTCATTTCTGTGAGATGAACTTGCAAATTACAGGTGCAATAAAAAATGTGAAGTTTGTATTTGACAAAAGAAGTCCAAAGGAGGACAGCGTATGCAGTCTGCTATAGCAACTCAGGTTGGTTCAGCTCTTCACTGATTGGCTGGTGCACAGTCTACAATTTCTGTGGTTCTTGTCCTTCTGATTCCTGACCTAGTCGCTGGAGAGAAATTAAACTGAGTGGAGGCACTAGGTGGCAACAGCCTGGCTATTGCTGTCCTCCATCTTAATTTTAAACTATAGGCTCTGTGTTGTGATTTCATATAAAGGGAACTTAGACACATGTCCTGTCTTAACAATGTACACTACCAGTCAACAGTTTGGACACACCATCTCATTGAATTCATTAGTTATAGCTGTAGAGTTATTTGTTGTCATCTGTATGTATATAAAATTTAGAGAGAAGCAAAAAAAATATTGTGCAAAAAGTGTACATTCACTTTTTGTACAATATTGTATTCTATTAATTTATTGACAATTATTCTCACCCTGCGGCAGGTCTTCATGACTGCAGCCACCTCCTCCTCTGTCAGCAGTCTCCGGGCCATCCCCTCCACCACCCCCAACATCTCTGTGTTTGGCTGTTTTCCATCTGGTCACACAAACACATTTACCTTTCATAGTAATATATTTCTTTCATTTGGGCAACTCAACTTTTTCCTCTTTTCCATGATTTACATGTCATACTCAGTCATATCAACAGAGATGAGACCCAGGAGTAGGGAGAAGAAAAAACATATAAACGCCTGCTCCCTCTCAGATAATAATATGATAAGACATGATAATTAAGTCCAATAAATTCTAATCTGTGTTTTTATTTAAAGCACTACCATTTAAGTGTCTATAAATCAGAGTAATCAAAGTAAAGTAATCAGAACTACAGGTACATTATTCTTGTACTACCAATTTGAAAGTTTACAAAATTGGTAGTTATAGTTGGCTGCTGGTAAAGAAAAATCCTGCATAATGATATTATTTTAATCAAATAGTATTACATGTTCAGTATTGATTAAAAAAAGTGAAAAATAAAAAGTTATTTACCTTTTCCAGCCCTGTCACTGGACTTGGAGCGCCCCCTACGTCCACCCTTGAACAGCAGGTTTACAAAAGTTTTAGACCTCTGCAGGGTGCTCTTCTCCTCTGGGTCCTTTCCTTTCTGCTTTTTGTCCTTCTTTTGTGTAATCTCTGCAGGATAAATATATAAAAATTATGTCATTTTTCTCCCAGAGCTGCATAAGATTCCTTTACAGATTTTCACCTGCTATAGTGACTTGGCTCTGGGACCTGGTGATGGGGCGGCTGGGTTTACTGAGGGCGAGGAGCACGGCTGTTTTGGGCGATTCTTTCTTCTTTTTGTCATCGTCTCCTCGGATGGCGGTGTCTTTGAGCAGAGTGGTCGGGCCTAGGCTGCGAGTCGTGTCATTTGGGATGTCGGAGTGTTCTGGTTCAGACCTGGGCAAATGAATATGCCATTGTGTAATATATCAAAAGTAATGTTGTGGTTCAAGTATTCAAATTTTATTTATACAAACCATCAGAAACGTGCTTAAATGGGGTCAAGAAATCGGGTCATGAAATATCATTTAGTACCTTTACAGGGGAGATTACAAGAGATTTTTTTTGTCTTTATTGTTTATATAATTAGTGTCTTGCATTTATGTCATGTTTATATGTTGTGTAGTTGGTATGTGTAATTTTAGAAGAATGACATTTCTGCTTTGAACTGCACAGTATTAATGAAAAAACAACCTGAAAACAACTCTTGCAGTGTGTATATGTGCGATATTTTATCTGTAATTATAATAAATATATTAACAAAAATAAAGTTGTTTGTAATTACATGTTATGTGTTTTATACTGTAATATAATGCAACTTAAATGCGGTCAAGAAATCAGATCGAGAAATATCATTGCAGGGGAGATTACAAGAGATTTTGCCTTTATAGTTTATTTTTTATTTAATTTTAATTAGTGTCTTGCATTTATGTCACGTTATATGTTGTGTAGTTGGTATGTGTATTTTTGTATGATGGCCTGTGTGTCCAAAATAGAAAACTACAATGAGGCATGTGTCTATCCAGCTCAAAAATACAACTTTACTCATGTTTGACACTTTTAGGTAAGGACATCATGAAGCTGCTTTGACAAAACTTGACAGAAATACAGATTCAACAACACTATTGGGTAGTTCATTCATATATTGTCACATCTGGTTATAACAGAATTAACCCCTCACCTCTCAAGAAATACTACAATATGTTCGCACTACATACAGTGACTCTTCCCACCTCTGGTCTTCAGTGGAGATGCAGACGTCCACCATGTCAGAGCCGAACGGCAGACTGGGAGGGAACATGACCTGGGACAGACCACTGAGAGAGCTGACTGGAGTCCCGGAGGAGAGAGAGGAGGCCGAGGAGGTCGAGTCTGAGCCCTGAGACGAAGAGTTCTGGGTGCCATTGGCCACTGATAAGGTACATGATGAAGTTAGTTATAAAATATTAACATACACCTTTTAAAACACTTAGACATGTAAAATGGAAAGAAATAAAATTATGTAGTGTTACAGATCGCAAAAACATATAAATTTGCACACATAAAAATTGACTGATAAAAATAAGAATATGGATTGTGCAGAACATATTATTTGTGTGTATGAAAAGCAAATGACTATCTTTAATTACTTTATTCCTACACCAATTTTGTAGTAAGGGTGGATAAATATTACAGGTTAATGGACAGTATCAGTAAAATAAATGATCAGTTTAAACATTTGGGAGATGTTAATAGATCTATGAGAGTTTTATTGTCACATTTTAGAACTTAAAATCATCCAAAAGCAACATACATTTATTCAACCATCTGTATTCAGCCACCATCTCTTTATAGGCAGGGTACCGTCCAGCTTCCTGCAAAGATATGATCAACAATATGCAAATTAGATACAGTAGAGATCTTGAAACTTTTATGGGATCACTATATTTGATAAAGTGTAACCCTAGAACCACAGAAGGGACTCAAACCTTCAGTGTGTATATTATTCTTTCAACCCAAACTACAATGCCAGAATCCCCTCTCCACTTTCTAGTAACCTTTGATAGTTGTACTGCTTTCTAACCCTGGTCGCCGTTTCGATTCCCAGAGTCCTTTGTGAGCGAGTCTCAAACTAAACTTGAACAAACACTGGCCCATGCTTCGCTCAGCACCTGATCCCGGGGCCTGGTGAATAATGCACACAGCCTGGGTATTTTTCACAGCGCGAAACCCAACCTCCAACAAGTAAAGTGAGTGAGGAATATAACAACTGCATACCAGCTGTCGCCCCTGGAAGATACAACTGTTGATACATGTCCATTGTTTAGCAACAATACTCACGGGATTAACCAAGCACCTATGTAACGGCAGTTATGGGAAGTAACCAAATAACGAAAATACATATTTTGAATACTAATTTTGAGTAACTATATTCCGGTACAATTAATTTTTCACTTCCTGGTACTCAGAATACAGTTACTTTACTAAATTATAAGAAATACATTACACAGAAATACATATATTGCTTTGAACTCCAAAGTATTAGTGAGAAAAAAAAACACAGCTCTTGCAATGGGTATATGTATGGGATGTAACAATAATGGAAATATCGTGATATCATATCGTCTAATTCTCACAAGAATATCGTGGACCATCACAATATATATATATATATATATATATATATATATATATATATATATATATATATATATATATATATATATATATATATACAATATATATTGAATTACAAGTCTCTTTGCTTAAATTAAGAGTTATGGTGCAGCAACAGCTAAAAAAAGACAGAAGGAACTACATAGACCATGAACCTTTGCTCCATTTCAATGTGTAGACTACAAGAAGAAATAACAGTTCTAAGAATTTTTAAGTCTTAGTTCTCTGGATTAAAAATCTTGTTTTTGGATTGTCTTGTCAAGGCATTTTAAAAGGAAAAAGTAACACATTATAACAGCATAATAACACACAAACATCGCAATAAATATTGTACTGTGAGATGTATATCATTAAAATATTGTACCGAGAGATTTGGATATTGTTACATCCCGAATCGTGAGCCTCCCCACCATATCGTGAGCTTTCCCACGATATCACAATAAATAATAATAAATAATATCGTATCGTGAAATTGGATATCATTATATCCCTAGTATATGTGCGGTTTATTTGTTTCTAATTATAATAAATATATTAACAACAAAAATAAGTTGTTTGTAATTACATGTTATGTTTTTACTATAATATAATGCAACTTGGTGTAAAAGTATCCCAAGTACTCAGAATACAGTACTCTGATTGGATCATGTATCAGAACACATGCACAATACAGTTTATTCAGACATTCAGTATTCATTTTCAGTACATACAAAGTATTCTTCCCATCACTGTCTATCGGGTTCGAAGTGTTTAAAAATATGAACCGTTTCCATAGTGATAAACAATAAAACAAAATATAATATCTTTTCAATGGGATCCATAGAATGTTGCATAAAAGAGGAAGCAGAAATTCAAATAGTGAATGACTGCTGATATCTGACTGTGGTATCTACTAGTATTTGATTAACTGGAAAAGGCACCAAATGTTCAATAGCAGTGACTGGAAGTGACTAAGATCTTGATCGCTGTAACAGAAAGAAGCTGACATGCTTTCTAGTAAGCGCACACAAACAAGGAGTCACTGCGAAAGCTGATATGGCCCCCAAGACATTAAAGCAACAATCAACATTCAAATGAGCATGTGTGGTAGACTGTTAGTTAAACTGTGACCACTATGGCCCAATATAAAGTAAATCCACTGACTATAGACAACTGTGAAACCGAATGCTGCTAAATGAGAGGTTTAGATAAGGTCAATTAACAGCACACAAAGAAGTGGCTGTATTGTACTATTTGAATCACTGTATAAGAGGATTAGCACTGTTTTTTATTTATTTATTTCCATTTTAAAACATCATTGCAGCTGTTTCTGCCCATCCAAATAGTGACAAAACTTAAAGGAGCATTGGGTAACTTATCTGGTTGAGGGCCCTTCAAACTCTTTTCTCTTTTCTCTTTTGAGATGTTGTAACTTTGTCTGGAGTGATTCACAGTATGGTATTAAACTTTTCTATCTTCATGGAGACCAAACCAGACAAAGTTACAGGTCAGATCTGTGGAGAGGCGACCCTGCTCACAGTCAGAATGCCAGTTTTTCTAGGTTTTTTTGAGTAATAAAACCACCTGCAACTTAATAAATGCAAGCTAGAGCTGTTTAATGTCATACTGTGGAACATTTCAGGTAGAGCAATCACATATCCATGCAAACAAGCTGGTGATTGACTGCCAACTAAAAAGTTACATAGTGCACTTTTACCCTAACCTTCCAACTGACTAAATGGTGATATAGTATAATTACAGTATTTTTCCTCATATTGATCTATTACAAATTTCAATATATTTTTTGTTTAATTAAAAACAAACAAATGGGGTTTACTATTAATTTACTGAACATAATATAGACCTGTAACCATTGTGAGTTAGCTATGTCCATTTATATATATAGTCTACGGGTCTTACATCAGTTATCCCCATGACACAATAGAAACAATAAAAAAACATGTTCCTTACCTTAATAGTGAGCATAACGTGTGTGTGACTCTTCAGTACTTCCACTGCGCTGCTGTGACTGATGTCCTCAAAACTGACCCCGTTGGCGGCAAGAATCTGGTCCCCCATTTTAATGCCATTTTGTTCAGCGAGACCACCAGGATCCAGTCTGAGGTATCGACATGAAGAAGAAAAGTTTTTATTAAGAAAATCTAAATAAATACGTAACTTTCCTGATGATGGTCTGTCACATTTACTTAACCTAGAATGTTTTGAATAGAATAGGCCACAGTATGGAATGGGAGAGGCCTCTATTTTGACAGTGTTTAAATCCAGGCTCACCAGTTTTTTTAATGTTAACTTTATGATGATTCTTTATGTTTTGCTTTGTTTAAATTATGATTTTAATGTCTTTTTGATTCTGTATGGTACTTTGAATTGTGTCTCTGTGGAGAGGCAACTGTGTTCCCAGTAACAATGTAAACTTTGAAGGTATATTTGACTGATAAAAAGACCTGTGATGAAGTAAATGCACAATGGATATGTGCATTTACTGCATAATTAATTATTATTAATTAATGCCATACTGCGGAACATACCAGGCAAAACAATAAAATCCCTGTGGAATAGAAATTTCCAGAACCACAAAAGTAAGATGAAATATATGACCGAGGAACCTACTTGGAGACATAGATACCAAGTCCAAACTCTTTTCCTCCTCGTATGTTAAACCCCAGGCAGTAATCATCAGAAGTGGTGTACAGGTGAACAATTCTTTGCAGAGCACTTCCAGAGCTGGCCTCAGATGGGGTCTTTCCACTCTCCTCCACCACCATCCGTCTGTGTACCAAATCCACCCTGCCAAAGGACATTTAACTGTGAACATACCCACAGTAAGATCAAGGAGCTAATAATTAAAGGATTCATTACTCCACTTCTGTTCTCCTTTACAGAATCAAAACAGAAACATGGCCTCCTTTGTCCTAACTGCATATGTTTCCTCATTACATGTAGATTTTACCAATGAAAACAACAAAACCATGTCTCCCATTTGTACCATGTGGTCTTTTCCTTGGAGTAACGGATGCCGGGGACCTTGCCAACACGTCGTACCACCATCCTCAGCCTGTTGCTTCCGGTCAAGACTTTAACAGCACTGCTCATTGTAATACTCTCCAGACTGATCCCATTCACCTCCACCAGTTTGTCCCCAACACGGAGACCTGCCTCCTCTGTGAGACAAGTAGTACAGATGTTAGAGGTCCTATATTACGCACAATTGACTCTTGTGAGCTTTTAGACATGTTAGAATGTTGTTACCTCCTCAAAAACATACCTGGAGTTGTGTTTTGTTTCATTCACACGTATCAGTAACCCTTTATTATTAATCTGTTTACATCTCCAAAGTTCAAAATGCTCTGCTCCACCTCGTGAAATTAACAGCTACCTTTTACCTTTTGTTCAGTAGAGATAGGAAAGTCCATGTCTGAAATCGTCCATATGATTGTAGTGAAGGTGTATGGATTTTAAAAACACAGTGGTGCACTTCCTGTATTACCACATGACATCACAAGGTGGAACAGAGTGTTTTCTGTTTAATAGAAGAATACAACCTAAATATGCAGGGTTTGTGTGTTAAACATATGTGAATGAAACAAAACACAACTCCAGCTATGTTGATGAGGAAACATTATAACATAGATCAGAAAATAGCATAATATGGGCCCTTTGAGGATATTTAGCCTTTTAACAATTCATAATGTTATATATTTGTGTATTGTACCCGCTGTGCTGTCATCCTCCACTTTACTGACAAAGATGCTGAGCCCATGTTCAGATCCTCCTCTGACGCTGAAGCCAAGTCTCCCATCCAAACTCTTGTCCACTGTGATTGTGTGCAGGTCTTCACTGTCATCTCCACCTGAGAATGACACAATATTTACATGTCTGTATTTATGTCATACATTTTTTGTGGAATGTTATAATATGTAATACACAGTACATTGGAATGCTTGTGATTGAATGATAATTTTCTACAGTTTCTACGGGCTGCCTAGTGTACTTATGCTAGTACATGTGTGTGTACAAGTGCAGCTGGCCCTACCATCCACAGGAGAGTTGATGAGGATGACCCTGCCCATGGGTGAGGAGGATCGTATTCCACGACGGCGCTGCTCCTTCTTTCGGAGGAGGTTGCGTGTAGCCGTGTGCGACCCCTGAGTGCCAGGGGTCTTCTCCCTGCGGGACGGCTCTGACGGATGAGCCATGGAGCCGGAGGGGTCTCCTTTCACTCACACTGCAGCAGGGGCTCAGCTCCTGGACAGACAGGCTGTGAAGACAATCATTATAGTAGTTATGGTGTGGGACACATAACACATGACAAAACATGAAAACAGGGACAATAAGCAAAGTCAAAACTCACTGTTGCGGGGTGGTCGGTGGCATGGCATCTGACTCGTCCTGCAGACTCTCTTTGGTCCATTCCTGCCCATGTTGCATTCTCTTAGCTGTTTAAACCTCAGAACAGAGGACACATGTGAAGTGAAAACACAGTATACCTGCTGCTTCGTTGTCAGGCCATGAGACCTGAGACAACAACAGACTGAGGAGGTTAAAAATAGGTTTAATGCGTGTATTGGCTCAGACGTGTCGCACCTGACCCAGTTCGGTCACTTGTTTGTTTCCTTTTCCATTCTAACTTGTCACGAGTGTTAACCCCCAGGCCAGGGCAGTGTGTTATAACACCGGGGTTACCCCAGGCCCACACCCTCCAGCACCACAGACAGCGCCACAAACTGCGCGTCACCAATTGAACTCTAAGGGCACAACACAAAGAAACTGGCCTTGAATAATTTGGTTAGCTTTATAGCAGTGAATTATTGTTGATTTTTTAGCAACACATTTTTGGATACGCAACGTCACAAAAAGTAAAACAATAAAGCCTAGGCCTATATATTTTGTTTATACAAAATCTACACAATGTTTGGTCTTATACCGCGAAGCTTTCTATGAACAAACAGAATGTAGTATACTTACTGAACATTTCACGCTCCCCCCAAAAACACGAGGCATTTACGCACAAGAATTTACAGCACAAAAATCAACTAAATATAGTTCCATTTATACCAAGGTTGAAGTCATTTTCTTAAGTCAGCCCATATTTTTTCACCGTGATGAAAATGTTGGTTGAGCAACGTGTATCCATCCATGTTGCGTGGAGTAACTGAGCGCACCTGACACATCCCGGTCACCTATGCCCCGCCCTAGAGCCACGTGATTGGCTGAAACAATAGGCCATAAGAGCCTTTTAATTGGTCATAGTTCAGACCCAACATATGTTTATCATAGATTGGTGTTTGCTAAAGGTTTCAGACCGACCGCTCATATACAACCCAAAGTCCATAACAACATCATATCCCAACCCTACTGACACTCCAAGGGCCAGACGACACATCACGTCATTGAACATTGCACTACTTCTATATTGCATGGTGAATTAACATGAATGAAACATTAAAAACACACTAGCCAAAGCAGTAACCTGTCCAAATGATACTTAAACAGAGACAGGACGAGAAACAGCTGCAACTATCATTTTGTGCTCTGCAAAGTAATTAAACATTCTAAAGTGAAATCCTGTATTGTGATTTCATAGTTAAGGTTTTCTTCACAGTACATGCCAACACCACCGCGCTGTTGGCTGAGTAAACTAGTCAGAGCTGGGTGATTATCATAGAATGTATAAAAATTAATTAACATGACTAATTAATTTTAATGACTGCTTAGAAATGTAGAAAATCTAATCACAAACTAAAGTTAAATGAGTAGTTTTGTGTGTTTATCATGAACTACCTGTATGACATTCCCTCCATGATGACATTGCAGTTTAAGAGGGACTTGTTTAACAGAACAAATCGTCTCACCTCTTGCAATTCCAACCAAGTCAACTCTTTCCACTCAAACTGTGTTAAAATAAAGCTCAGATGTGTGTCTGTCTGGTCCACACATATCTCTCAAACCGCTCATGTGACCAATCTCAAATTCGGAGGGTGTCATTGTAATTGTACGGGTGTGTGCAGGGCCAAGTTTCATGTTGTTAGGGCAAAAAAATGCCAAAGATCTGGTAAAATGAGTGATATATTTTAAATATAAACAACTTTTGGAATCTCTCTCCTGTTTTCTAGCAAAGGTTGCCCATAGCGACAGAACTCTTTGTGACATCATCACTTGAGGTCACATGGGGTCATTAACCAATCAGAGACAGGCATGGTCCTTCCATCTCAAAAGCTTTTCATTCCATCTTATCTTCTGCACTGCTTTGATCTGTTCTTTATAGTGCAGTCTGACGTCACTCAGAGATTGTAAGGGTGTCACCAAACTGTTATGACAGCATTCCGGAGACTAGCTCATCTTGCTTGTATCACAGTGCCACCATGGAGTAAAAAAAAATCCAAAGTATCCTTTTCGAGTTTCAGGAGAAACTGTCTGTCAAAACTGTCTGGGATGTGTTCTTCATCTGGATCAAGAGAGCGAAGCTTATCTTCCTCTTTTTCCTCTGGGCCCACGACAGGGCCGAGTTTTGCTCCACCAGCCACAGCACTGCCATGGGGACACAGGTACCCTTACACAGCAAGGCCGAGGCCTGCTCGACCAGTCCCAGCACGGAGGCCCGCTCCAGCAGCCCCAGTACTTCCGTGGGGACACGGGTACTTTTACATGCCCGCGCCCAAGCCAGACTTCTTTAGCGCCCCCATCTCCTGGATGCGGTGGCAACATGAAAGGCTCAAGAGGTTCCACAGGGAGCACTTCAAGACGTTTTGTACCATCGCCATAGGATGGACTCTTCTTTATAATTGTTTTTGCTTGCTTATAAATGTGTGTCCTTGGGCGTGGAACAAGAATGACAGTGGTGTCATTCAGGTTTCACATCTGGTCACACACACACACTTACTTTTCCATGGTATTATTTTATGAGCTTCTAAACCTTTCAAAATAAAACTGTATTTTGTCAACTGGAGAGAAATGTTGATTTTTGTCTGATTGACAGTATATATACATTTAAAAAATGGTTGGCATTGCTCAAATAGCAAAGTTTAGCCATAATTTGGCCATACCGGCTTGTCAAAGCCTGATCCTGTCAGATCTCAGAAGCTCAGCAGGGCCGGACCTGGGTAGTACTTGGATGGAGACCACTGGGAAAATCAGGTGCCACAGGGGGGTGGCTGTTGTGTCCTTAGACAAGACACTTCACCCACATTGCCTTGTACACCATTTGCATAGTGAAAAAGGGACACCAACGACTATACTTCCTTAGGCGCCTTAAAAAAAGCAGGTCTCGGCCCCTCTGTCCTGAAGGCCTTTTACAGGTGTGCTTCTTACATTATGTTCATGTAAAGTTCTGGGTTTTTCATAGAGCAGGTGTTAATTTTTCCAGAAATGTATCCTTAACTATGATAAGCAGTGTAAACAGCACCGCCTACTGGACTGAATAAAAACTCTAAATAAAAAGTAACCACTAGTACGTTTCCACGCCAACCCACCTTTCTTTCTTGTGCAATATGGCCCAAATCCCAAAGTCATATTTCCCACTGAAGAAATAACAAGATGACCATTCAGCAAATACATGTTTTAATGTTCAAGAGTCACTGTGTCAAAGGTTTTTGGATCTTACACAATCGTAACAAACTGGGTGTTAAAGATCAAGTCTGATTTTCAGAGTTTCAAAACAGACCATCATGAACACACCCAAGACATCTTATGATTTTGTAACCATCCAGTTTCCTCAGACAGTGCTTAGGCACAGAACAGTGAACTATTTGTTAGCTAGTTGCTGGAGTTCACGTGGCATTCTCCTCACAGCTTCAATCACATCCTTTATATTGACTTTGTCTCCAAACTCAATTTCTCTGTGTTCCAACAGAATTCCCTGGGAAAAATATGAAACAATAAACCAAAATGATAATACAATTCGACAAAGGAGGTTTCAAAATATATATTTAAAAATGCACTATGTAACTTTTCAGGTGGGGGTGAATCACCTTCTTGTTTCTATGGATACGTCACTGCTCTGCTTCAACTGTCCCACAGTATGAACTTACATTTATTCAATTACGGGTGGTTTTATTGATAAAAATACCTACAAAACCAGGCTGTGAGCGGGGTTGCCTCTCCACAGATCTGACCTGTAACTTGGCCTGGTATAGTCTCGATGATAGAATGGCGTTAAACCTTACTGTGAAACATTCCAGACAAAGAAATAGCATCTCCATGGAGAAAAGCAGATGGCAGACCTTCCACCAGAAATGTTACACAAATGTTGCACCTTTAAACTTACCTGTTGTCCTCTTCCGATAACAAAAACCCCACCCAGGACAAATCCTTCTCCAAAAACATTCCCCATGAAGCCCTTTCTAAAGGCTCTCAAGCCGCTGGTCCAGACTCCAACCCTGAGGAACCCGAGCAAACCCATCCTCCGCTCCCGTGGTCCATAAAACCTCCTCTGTGGGCAAACAAACAAGTGTTGTAATGGATCATGCAAAACTAAACAGATTTGTCACAGATCATCAAAATATCTGACCATTTCCTCCAAGCCAAAATAAAGCTGATAAAGGGTCAGATAAAGGGTTGTGTTGTAACACTGGCAAAGTATTAGTTTACTTTACCCGTTTATTATTCTCTGGTGAAGGGTCCACCTCCTTGTTTATTCAAGGATTTTTATGACTAAAGACAAGTTGAAAATCATGTTTTTACTGTGAGTGGGGTCTGTCTGAGTTTGTCTGTTTGTCTACATGAATATAGATGTTTAATGCCATATTGTTGGACATTCCAGGCAAGCTCTAACATTTCCATGAGTAAAGTATGTGGCAGATGCTCACCAGAAAAGTTCTGTAGTTCACCATGAAAGCGTTTCAGATATTACCTTTTCATCCAAGAACACCTCCCCTTTGAAGTATGGTCTGAAGTTCTGGACCTCGGTTCCGACGTCCTCCTTTACCACAGCGTACAAAGGGACCCCGAGTTCATCCAACTCAGGTTTCAGAGAGGACAGCTCTGCAGCCTCCTGTGAAAAGAGAAACAAATATTAGATTGAAAACAAGACCACCAAAATTTCACAAACCTTTTTATTACATAAATACAATCTAATGCCTCATGACCTCCAATTCTATATCCTAGAGCTGCTGTTTGTTCAAGTTTAAAGTATTGCTTAAACTAATACTAAACTATTTTAAACAAATGTATTCTTGCCTTATTTAGCCTGTTTATTTTCCGTTTTAAGTGTTGTCTTAATTCTCTGCTATATAATTGCCAAAAAAAAAATAAAAATAGCAACTTAAATCCAAATAATGGCACTTGACCTCTCTGCACAAAAATCATCCAGGTCTCCGGACAGCCATGATCACAGCTCCAGTGTTCTCCCACAGGGATTTGGCTTTGAAAGACCTTTTCTCTGTGAGGAAATAGGGCAAAGGGGCAATTATTAAGAACTGGAGGAATGCAGTCATTTTATTTGCCCATTTCAACATAGACAACTAAATCACTGTTTACAAAGTGCACTATGTAACTTTTCTAATGGAGGGGCTACCACCTGCTTATCTACCTGTAAGTGGCATTGCTTTGTCTGGAATGTTACAAAGTATGGCATTAAACACAACTATCTCCATGGAGTCAATCAAGTGACATTACAAAGTTTTGTGTCAGATCTGGTGAGAGGTGATCCAACTTACATGAATAATGCATGATTTACAAGGTCATTTTGAGAGGAAAAAAAAAAAAAAAGGCCAAGCTCCAAAAAGTTACGTAGTGCATCTTTAAAAAGTCTAATGGCACAAAATTAAAAGTATAACATTTAATAGTTGCAAATCACGTTATAAAGCCTCACCTCCTTGCAGAGTCGTGAGCTCAGCCTCCTCCAAATGCTTCAAAGTTGCTTTTAGCGGAGGTGTCAAAAAAGGATCAGTGAAATAGTTCATCATACTTGTGAAAAAACCCGCCACCGTCGCCATGGCGCTAACGATGAGCCCCATGATGGCTTGTTTGTCTTGTTGCGGCGTTTCTACTCTGTACCTCCGCACATGTTGAGCCGTTCTCCTCTGGACGCCCATTGACCGTCTCTGCGAAACCTCCGAGCTCCGAGAGCTGCTCCTGACCCTCCCACAATTTGGAGAGCGCGCGTGCGGCTCTTTGATTAGCCGCAGCTGCGCTCAATCACAGGCGTCACGAGGACTGAAGAAAATAGCAATGCTGCGTAAACCTGCGTCACTTCTCTTATACAAACTCTATACATTATTTTACAAATCCAAACGCACTGAAAACCAAAACACAGAATATAACATGTACATTTTCATTTATTTTGTCTAAGTATCCGGGCTGTGTGCAAAATGAAACCTCTAGCCCTTTTTGTTGTTTTGTTATTAATACTTTCGTATATTTTAATTTTAAAAAGTCACCTGAAAATAAAACGACTGAAAAATAAAGTGTCATCGTTTACCTTTGCACAATGAATGGTACAAAAATACAAAAAGTAAACTACTGTTTAAGTTATAGTCGTTTATATTTTGTATGATTGTATTTTTTAGGTCACAAATAACAAATTAGGCATTAAATGCAGGAAACTTTATTAAATATAAGCCAATACAAAACATTGTGCACATTTTCATTTATATATTCTCAATTGTTATGGCACTTCCTCCTGTAAAAAATAAGAGAAGTCACAAAAGCACATGCATTAAAGGTTGTATGGAGGATTTTTGTTTTTGTTTCAAGTTGTCAATGATAGCATTATAGAGGTGCAGTAGCCTTGTAATTATGATGACCAAAAAAAAGAGAATAAAAATTCATCAACTCTGGACGTGGTGGGGCCAGCTAAACATTTGCCAATAGATAACGACACTGCCTCGTTATCTGTTAGCTGACAGGCTGTCAATCAATCTCCTTATGTTTCTAGCGTAACTGACTTGCCTGCGCGCCGCCGGTACGTGGTTTACGTACGCCTGTCACGCAGTCCACAGACGCAAGCCGCACAGATGCTGTTTACTCCACCAATGCAACAGTTCTTAGCAGCTTTTTTTTACCTATATCTTCCTCGCAGTTAGCACAAAGTTTGTTGCAATGGCGACAAGAATCCAGGAGCAGTTAGCCACAAAAGAAAGTCCGTTTTTGAGGTCGCTGAAAGAAGAAGACAAGGGGAAAAGCAGCGAAGCCAAACTAAGGTGATTCTTATAGATTCATTCCAGCTGTGGGTTTTTTCGGAAGGTTCAATGCGTGTCCTAAAAAGAAGCACAGGAGATGGAGAATCCGAGAGAACAGGCCACTTTATTTCAGCATTTCCATTGAGAGAGATTCAAGTTGATTACCAAGTACAACTGCCACCCCGGAACGACGTCTCTCACCAACTCAAAATCAGGGGTAGCTTTATACTACATCTTGACAAAACATTAACTTGTTGATTTAGCATATACAGCAAGAAAATGAACAATACTGCTGACCCAGTACACCTTATCATGGGTGGGAACATGCCACGGGGTCCACATATGTCAGTTTTTCTGCTTCGTGGCACTCAAAGTCCAGAAAAACATGTTCTTTATGGCACTCAAAGTACAGAAAAAACATGTTATATAGACCTATAGATAGTCATACGTGTTTTCCACCCTGTTGTCATTCCAAAGTCCATAATATTAGGTGAATTAGCATGACCAACACATAATATTTCCCACACAGCGATGGCGCAACTGAAGCAGACGAAGGGTCTAAAGACTGACGCATTGGTCGCCAAATTACTCCTGGACAGGAAACTTCTGCTTATTATGAAAACGTACTTTATTTCCAAGAGCTAGTCAAACGTTTTTCAGGACACGAAAGCGATATCCTATGTCTGAAAACGTAATTTTCAAGGCAAAGAAAGAGTCCGTTTGCTGCTGCGTGTTGTAGCTACGGAATCGCAACCTTCTCTGCACCCCTTTCCTGCTCCTGTCCCCGCTGCCCGTTCCGCTCTTCCCCCTGCTCCTCACTTCTCCGGGCACGGAATCTCCGCGCACCGCTCCCCTCTCCTCTCTCCTCTCCTCTCTCCCTGCTCCGCTCTTCTCCCTGCTCCTCACTTCTCGTCCGCGAACGAAATGTCCGCGCACCTGCTCCCCCCGCTCCTCACTTCTCCGTCTTGCCTAACCAACACTGTAGTTAGTTGTTTACAAGTCATGTGCAGCGCACCGGCTGTAAACAAACCTGTTTCTGGCGTAAAGAGGAGGCGGGAGGAGGCGTTTCTACGTAGGGAGCTGTAGGGGAGGGGGGGTGGTTTCACGCATGCGCAACATTTGAAAAAGGACAAACAGTCGCTGGATTTCTCGTTCCTTGGAAAATCCTCTATACAACCTTTAACTTTACATGAATGATAATGACATTTCACATTTTAACACATTTTATTTATAGCCCTCAGCTGTCCCTCTTTCTTCCTCATTCTCTGGGACTGTGTTCACTGCATCTGCCTCCTGTGTTTCCGCCCTGATAATATTGTATTAGAGAGTAATGAGTACTTTAAGTATATTTAAACTTGTACAACACTCATCATAGTAGATCATCATAATGTAATTATGTGTTATTCCAGTGTCCACACACAGAGACCAGTGTCTTCACTGGGATAAATTTTCATACTGCCCAGCACCAAACTGTGTGTAACTGTGCTTGATTCTGTATTTGATTCTATTTAAGACAATACAGAACTGTGGAAAACTGAAGATTGTTTTTGTATTGTTTTACTTTAAAACCTTTTAAGGACATTTGACATTGTGTATTAAAGTAATTGTGTTGATAGAATTATATAATATATTAAAAATAAAAACATAAAAAGGCTAATTTTCATAAGATAAACTAAGATAAATATGTGTGTTCAGCATGATTTAATCACATTTCACCATTCGTCATGTTCTGAGAAAAATATGTGTCCAGTGACCTTTATTTCACACCAATCATTGACATATTAGTGGACAATGAATTTTCTGATCTGTAAACTCTTAATCTTACATTTGGTAAAATTATATAAAATCTTGTGTTACCTTATCTTCTTCATGTGAAATGGCTTCTGTATTTTTATCCTCCTCCTTGTGTAATTCTATTTGAGAGAAGTCTTCTGTAGGTTTATCAGTGCTAGCACCTCCATCCATTGCATCCTTTGAATAAAAAAGTGCATATTTTTAGATCAATGTATGTAATAATCATATGTTTAATTATTGTTTGCAGGTTCTGGTTTTATACCTCCTTCTGTGTGCTGTCCTTATTGTCAATGGGTTCATTCTGTTTCACATCTACTTCCTGCAATGAAGCATAACATAGAGTAAGCAAATACATAATATAGCTATTTGGGTCTGGTGTTTTTTGTATTCATTTAGTTTTAAACAAGTTTCAAACAAAACCTTTTCCTCAGTCTGTTGAATTTTAGAACTTGACGCTTCATTATCTTCAGCAGAAATAGTTTCTTCTGGTTGTTCATTTTCCTGGAGTTTGTCATGATCATTGTTGACGTTTTCCTTTAGGTAAAATTATGCAATGTAAAAAATTGTGTCAAAACAGATATGATACTCTTCTTCTCTTGCCTGAATCCTGACTTCACTCAATTCACCTGAAGGCTTTCCAAAGCTGAAGTTAATGGATTTTATCTGCAATTGCCTGCTTCAACTTCCTGCTATCTTATTAGATCTTCATTTTTCTGTGTATTGTAACTTCCTTTGCTTTTCTCTGTACTCTTCATCCTCAGTATAAGCAAAAACATAGAGCAGACTTCTTTCCTGGCGATCCCTTTGTACAACTGATTCTCACATAATTCTCAAATAATACTAGTTTATAGTAGTGACATCACCTTGTCTGGTATTTCTTCATCAGGAGATTTTGACATATTTTCACTTTCTTCTTGCTTCTCAGGTTGGTTTAAATCAGTATTTGAAGATTCAGCAGGTTCAGTTGTTTTGGCCTGAGGAGTAGTTATGGGAAAGTTTAACTATGGTTTTGAGCTGCAATTTAATTCGATGTAATAATTATTTAAAAGACCAATATTACGTATAATTGACTACTGTTAGCTTTGTGAGCATGTTATAATGTTGTTACCTCATCAAAAACATACCTGGAGATTTTTTGGTTCATTCACACATTTTGAGTTGAGTTGGAGTAACCCTTTATTTTTAGTCTGTCTGCATTTCCAAAGCTTAAAATACTGTTCAACCTTGTGATGTCATTTAGTGGTAGTTTTCAAGTTACCTTTAGCTACGTTTTACCTTTAGTTCAGTAGAGAGTGACAATTCCAGGGCTGAAATTATCCAAATGATCCTAGTGAAGATGTACAGAGTTTAATAACACAGCGGACCACTTCCTGTCTTACCACATGACATTATAAGGTGAAAAAAAGTGTTTTCAGTTTGAGAGAAGAACCTACATTTTTAGGGTTTGTGTGTTAAACATATGTAAATGAAAGAAAACACAACACAACAGGTATGTTTTTGATTATGAAACATTATAACCTAGATCAGAAAACAGCATAATATGGGCCCTTTAATGATTGCTGTTATATCATTGCACCTCTTCATTATCTTTAGCGTTGTCTGGTGGTTCAATGCTTTGCTCCTCCTCATCTTTATCCACCTGTTTTGTATCCACCTCTTTTGTTTCCTCTTGCGTGATGGTTTGCTCCGCTGTTGTATCCACTGCATTTTCAGTCAGACTGGGCTCAGCTTGTTCACTTTCCTGCTTAATAATATCTGTCTGTTCTTCACTTTCTCCTGCCTGGTCGTCTTTCTGGTCTTCTTTAGGTTGCTCTTGGGTCTCAGTCTCTGCAGCATTGACAGGTAAATCTGGGGTTGTGCTGCCCCCTTCTGGAGCTGATTGTGGTCTGTTTTCAGTATCTCTTGGGGTCACCTGGCAGAGAAACTTTTCAATTAAAAGTGTAACTAAATCCGCTTATAGCTTTCATTCAATCATGCAAAGTAGATATATAAATATAGTTAAATGTTGAGAATCTAACAGAGGCCCCAAGTATTTTATTATGATTAGTTTACCTTGTCTCTGCTTTCTTTCTCTTAGGTGAAATCCATGCAAGAAAATTTCAGGCAAACGTACATCATGCAGTTGATTCATGCATGCAGGAAAATGTGTCTCTATAGCAGTAATCGTTTGAAGTGAAATAGAGAAGCGCAAATTTAAACGTTTATATCACCTCTGTAGCATCTTTGTCAGTTTCCGATTTTATTTTGTTTTGGTCTGGATTGTCTTTTGAGGTTGCGTTAACTGTTGTGTCATCTTTCACTGGTGTCTTTTCTTCAGTTTTTTCTATTTGTGTATCAGGAGCAGGTGTATCAGGTACTGCAGTTGTTTCTTGTAACTGCTGAAATGAATTCTTGAAGATTTAGACCACTGTGCATTTTTCCCATTTATATGATTGTGGTGGTTATACACATGCAAAATAAAAAAACATATAAAAAAAAAACATAAAATCAGTACCTGTTTAGACTTTTCAAATTCCTCGTTGAGCTTTCTCTCTTCCTCCTGTAGCTTCTGCTGGTGTGATGCTTCTTTTCTGGCTTTGGCCAACTCTTCCTCCATATGAGCCGCTGCAGCCTTTTTCTGAAATCACACATTTTTTTTTATCAGAAAGGTTTGCCACTTTCAATATCAATATTTGAGTCTAAGCTGTAGTGCAGTTGCTGGAGTCTGTGCACGCTGCCTTCTGTGCCGAGAGATTTAGACCTGCCTAGCTTTAACAATTTGTCCTCCCAGCTCTTAAACCCTTTTTCATACTATTATGTCCCCATTACACACATTTTAAACTGTGGTAGAATCACTAATCAGTAAAAGTGATTATTCAGATCACAATTCAATCATACAAAAAAAGGAAGAAAATTTGTAGTTTCAGTTTTCAGTTTATAGTCCAGGTAAACATAAGCGTGAAGTGCTTAATTAATTGATCTTTTTGTTCCACATTCACTTTATTTTATCATTCAAGAAGTTTGATTTCATAAAGCTGTTCACATAAGAGGGATGGCAACAAATGAATTAGACAATATATTTGTAATTGGGGTTAGGGTTATGATCTTATGTTGACAAATGGCTCTAAATAACCATGTAGTTTAATAACCCTGACTGCTGAGAAATCATGGGAATGTATTCAGATGTTGACATGGCTATCATATCTTACCTGTGTCTCATATTTCACATTGGCCTTGTATTTGTAAAGCCAATGAGCGAGGTACAAGATTGGGTCATCGGGGCGCTGCTCAGCCACTTCAGCAAGACCCTCTGCCAAACAGTGTCCCAGGTGCTTTTTTATGTACTCTGAGTCCATGTTTACTCCTTCCTCTGCGTGAGAAACATAAAAAATAAATTACAGTATATGTCTGTATGACAGTATGACATTTTTACCTTGATTAGACCTTACAGCGTTTCACGTCCGAACCATGTTATTGCACTTACCTGTGGATTCTTACTTTTTCACTTTAAATTTTCACCACGTTTAGTAAAATAACACGTTGATTAATTTATTTTAAACTATGAACAATTAGCAAAGTAAATTTAGAAGCAACAAGCAACAAGTTAAAAGCAAGACACAAAACAAACTCGGTATCCGGATGTGTGTGAGTGTCGCCATGGTAACTGCGTCACATCATTAAGGGTCCCCTCGCGCTGCCCGCAGAGTTAACGCTAGCATAAACACGTGTAGCTTCTGTGTTTACATTGTGAATGCAAAAGAGATTATTTTTAAGTAGCTGTTATGTATGTAATAGCGATACAGGCAAACACTAAAATAAGCCGTGGTTAGTTATCGTGGATCCGTTTTCTGACTTCCCAAATTGCCAGTGATGTTTACGATACTGCATTGCCATCTTGTGGCGTGTTCGCAGATCACAGTATTTTCGCTTTGATATTGCAATATATTTATTATTGTTATTATATTATATTGCGGGAATGAGGTGCGTATGAAGACCAATTTAATAAGTTACTCTCAGTTTTTCAGTCAAAGGGAAATGCGTGTGAAGAAGGCTCCAGCGACGTGGGTGCGCTCAGAGCAGAGTCAAAGGTCTGATGGTCCGACCCATGGATCGTACCTGGAGCGGGCTCCAGTTTCACATGGGTTTCACTGCGGGACAGTGCGTCAGCTCCAGCTGTCCTGGTCCTGCCCAGCGCTTCCACAGGGGGAGGATTGCGTCCTCAGTGAAAGCTTTGCGAAACACCCGGATTCTAAGTCACTTTCTGTGGAAATATTTGGTAAAACGTGCAAGGTAATGTCTCCTTGATTCGTATTTATTTCTAACTTTCACGTGGGTTCCATAATAATTATGTTCATCTCATGCACTTTGCATTTTGTCTAATAAGTTTGCATGCTCAGTGCTTCTTAATACTTTATAAGCAATACCCAAATTCCTCTCAGCCGTGTTTTTTTTTTTTTTTTTTAAATCTGGATTTCTAGCAAATATCATGTATGCCTATAGCCAACTTACAATTTCAGAATAACTGAAAAAACCCCTAAACATTATAACATGAAAAAGTAAAAAAAAAACACATTCTACTACCAAAGAAAGTAAGTCTAGGATAGGTTTGTTCTAATAATATGCTGTTCCTGTAATTGAGCTTAGGTCAAATTTGGAATTGGTAGATTTATGGCTCCTCAGCAGTGTTTGTGCATGTGTGTTTTGTCGCCTATAGCTGTGTGTTGGTGTTGCCTCCACAGTAACAGTCCACACCTGGCAGGTGAAACTTCTCTGATACACATGTTTCTAATGTCTCTGTGGACACTCTCAATCCCCACTATTCCTCCTACCCTCTGAGCCACTTTATTTTTAGTCCATGTCTTCATGGCAGATGGTCAAGATACTATGATGATGTTGATGCTCATATCATAAAGTTTATTTGGCCTTAATTGTTTCTTGAATCAGGCACCAGTTGTTGGACCAGCCAAGACTTAATGTTTTTACTCCTCTGCATTTGAACGGTACCTATGCAGAGGCAGAGGGACGGTTCTTCAGGCCAGTAGCCAATGCTTCGCACACTACACTGCAGTAGCCTCAGTAAAGCAGATCAGTTGTGTTTGATAAAATCCATAGAATAAGAGGAGACCACTGCCCAGAAGCTCACATGCCCTCTTTTTCATCTGCCTGTGCACCTGCTGCTCAACTGTTAAGGATGTACTTAAGCTGAACATTGTGACATTAGACATCACTCTGGATGGGCCAGGTCAAGTTGTTTACTACTTTTTATCTAGTTTTTGTCCACTTAAAATGCACAGTCTTTTATTTTCCGTAAATGTTATATTGTCATTAGGATGTATTCAGAGGAGGATGTAGAATGATTTAGTCTTGATGCGTAGTGTGTGTGTCTGGCATCACATGTTCTTGGACTCAGAACGTGTTGGTTTTGAGTTTCTTTCACCAAGTGAGCCCATGTGACCTCTTGGCTTTGCATCTGTATTTTCCAGTCTTCAAAAGGTGAAATAAGGTTAAAGATAAAAGATGGATTCCAGCATCTGTTCAGACTGTTTACTCATTATTAGTTTTTGACTCAAATTTTTTATCCGAGTGCATCGGCCAAATAGTAATAGATAATACCTTGTAATATCTCAAGTCCCAGCTCTGATAATAAGTCGAATGTCCTCCCTGCTCTTCACCCCCACTTCACACTATAGCCTCATGATCTCATCTTTGTACAGATATGAGAACAATTAAAGATAAGATGTGGTAATTCTGCAGTTATAAATCAACAGGACCATAGGTCTATTAGCCATCAGACCATGCAGCTGGTCTTGGAGATTACTCTGGGTCTTCACAGCTTCCTGGTATGTAGTGACTGAGGCATACCATGAATGACAGCAGCTGTCGTCTTAGCGGGAGCATAATGTGTTCAGGAATATGTCTTTAAATACACATCAGGACTAAATACAGGGCGATTACATAGATCATAAACCATAATGACTGCTTTAGCTTAGCTCTTCATTGTGAATGGATGTGTTACTCAGTGTGGCTTGTGGGAAGTTGTAACAGGTGGACTGGTGTGTTTTAATGTGCCCCCTATAGGGTTGAAATACAGGGTTAATGGATAGGTGACAGGGTGTTGAAGCAGGCCAGAGAGAGTGAACTTCAGCGAGCGATGGTTGCGATTTGACCCCGTGAGAAACATAGGGGAATGGGGCCACGGCAAATGTCAAAGGACGTGTGATAAAAGCTCTTGTTTGCTCACTCGATTCGTTGTTTACAGCTTAACTAAATTCTCAACATGGTCCGTGTTCGGTGACAGGTTGAGATATTTATCATGGTACATAAACTCTCTTATACTTTATGTTCACATATTTATTTTTTAAAATATTATGTACCTCATTGTTAAAATGGAAGTTTGTGTGGGAATGTCAGTCACGATATCACATTTTAGTGTTGGGATTGTTGTGAGAAGAAACATTTAATTAATTATTCATGATTACTGATACCATGACCAAAATAAAATCCTTAATTTACTTCCATTTTAATTAAATAATAGATTATCATTTCAAGTATTTATTTATTTATTTATTTGAGCATCATTTTCAGTACATTACAGTAAGTGCATTGTCATTCAAGTACATAGCTGAGGTGCTTAAAGGGATTAGATAGAAGTTAAAAAAAAACATTGTATGTAACCAGCTTTATTTTTTAAAATCAAACTTTCTGAATAATAAAGTAAAGTTTAGCGTGACACAGCCAGATATAAAAGCACTTCACATTTAAGTATCCTTCCTTTTCGAGTTCAGGTGGAGATGACTATTTTGGGTGATTATATTGAGACCTGTATAATCAGGATTATTGATGAAAATTATGAAAATAATCTTAAAACATCTCTACTTGTAATTCCAGTTTATCATTGTGTTGCAGTTAATATGTTTAAAAGATTGACCCTGGTCTAAAATAAAGACTATCCTTGAGAAGTGATTTCTGCCATAAACTGCTTTTATCACCTTTTGATAAAACACTCAAATCAAGGACTTGGCAAAAGTACATTTTGTTCACTGGTACAACAGGCATAAAGGTGGACAGAGGTGAAAGCCACACTGGTAGAGTGCTCTCAGACTGACTTAAAGGTTGGTTCAATCCCTCAAACCAGAACACATTCTATTGGTGTTGTGTTCTTGGGCAAGACACTTAACCTTAACCTTGCCTCCAGTGTCTGCTTAAGATGGTGTATGAAAGTGCGGATGGGTGAGTGGTGCTTTGATGTAAAAGTGGTTTGAGTGGTGAGTGGAGGTGGGATAGTGTGGAGCAGATCAAGCTGGTGAGGTAGGGGGTAGGAGGTAGCTCAGTGCTGGGTAAGATGAGTTGGCCGAGGCTCCTGTTTATCGGAGGGATGTGAGGCTCTGTGCGAGGCTTGGCCGCAGGAATGAGCAGAGTCATCGCGCTTCTGAAAGACGACACTGGCTCCTGACGGCCCACAGCAGCTGTGCAGCCACATTATCTGTGTGAGCGTGTGGCTGCACTCACAACTTTTAATGCTTCATTTTTGTCTGAGTGCTCCAGGTATTGGCCTGTTCATTCATTATATGTGTCACTTTACTCCCTGTACACGATGTGCGTTCTTCATTTGGGCTCAGCGCGATCACTGAATTAACCACTGTCTCACTGTACAGGTGGAAAACTTTTAATTCTCTAAAACATATACTGTAGTATACATGTATACTATATACATGTTTGCATTATTTTCAAAGCAGTACAAACAAACAACAACAAATATTTCATGCATTTTGCTTAAATCTTAAAGTTTTATATTCTAACTCCATGAAGTGTTGCTATCTAATAACAGCTTATGTTAGGTTGTTGCAAACACATCAAAGAGTGTAAGCAAATGCCTTTTGGAAATGAAGTGAGTGTCTGCTAAGCTAATAAGTAATCTGATGTACACAGCTAATGTCATGATGTCTTTAGAGGGAGGGGAAAGTATCCGAGTGTCTAGTCATTTTGTTACTATGGCGACACTTTTAAGAGCTTCTGGTTCAGTGAGAGGCTGAGCGCTGTGGCTGTGGTCTGTGTGGAGGTGAAACACAGATCAAAGCTCAACACTGATGATCACTACCAATGCCAAAGATACACATGCACAGATCAGGTTACAAACATAAAGCTGTTTAGACAGCTAAACTTCAAAGATATATGTTATGACAGTTGTAATTAATAGCGATTAAAATGCAGATTCCTTCCTCCAGTTTCTTCTAGGGAAAACTTGGTGTGGCAGTTCTGCTTCGCGATGCGAAGATGGCAATCCTGCTCCCTCCCCCAGGCACCCAAGTGTTCCGGCCCTTCACCCAGGCGTCGCTGGAGGAGATCAAGAGGCTCCAGGAGGAGAGCCAGAAGGCAGCTGCCGTAGAGGGCCATGAGGAGGAGGAGGAGGCAGAGGGACCGAACCCAGACCTGGAAGCAGGCAAGCCGCTACCGCTGATCTTTGGGGACCCTCCATCTGAACTACTCAACACCCCTCTGGAGGACATCGACCCCTTCTATAAAGCGCAGCAAGTCAGTCTGAGTCTGTCAGTGCACCGGGCACAGCCTCTGTTAGATCAATGACATTCAGTTAACTCTAACATGCAAGCTGTATTTCACCAATATAATATTTGTAGCCTGTATGTGTTATTAATTAATTAGTGCAGTATTTGTCAAGTATAATAAACTTAATTCAAATTGCAATTATGCTCTTTGTCCTCAGACATTCATTGTGATCACTAAAGGAAACACCATCTACAGGTTCAGTGCTGAACCAGCCTGCTACATTCTGAGCCCCTTTAGTCGTGTGCGGAGAGGAGCCATTAAAATTCTCATACATTCATATCCTTTATAATTGAGCTTTGGTTAACAGGTAAAATCAGTACTTATATTACAGTTTATGTGTACTAGTGCTACATGTATTCCTTAATCCTGAATTAAATTATTTAGCATGTTCATCATGATCACAATTCTGTCCAATTGTGTGTTCATGACAATGAGTAACCCACCAGCGTGGAGTAAAACTGTTGAGTATGTATCGCTGTCTTCTACCATGAAAATGGATCTATTTCCTCTTAACTCTGTTTCATATGTTTTCATAGGTATGTTTTTACTGGCATTTATACATTTGAGGCAACAGTCAAAGTGTTGTCTCGAGGTTTCTGTGTGGGACCTTTTACATTCCTTCGAGATCCATGGAACTGGCTGGATTTCATGGTTATCAGTATGGCGTATGTATCCTGCAGTATTCAGTTGTTTAAATCAGATTTTAGTCTCAAAAGTTAAAACTCTTTTACCCCCAGGTACGTTACTGAGTTTGTTGACCTTGGCAACGTGTCAGCACTCAGAACCTTTCGTGTGCTTCGAGCCCTCAAAACAATCACTGTGATTCCTGGTATGTCCAATATAATGTTTTGGCCCATAAATGAATATAATTTACTTATACGTTTTATATATACACCAAAGGACACACGCAATAAACATAAAAAAGGTCCATAAAAAAGGTCCTATATTACTCAAAACTGACTCTTGTGAAGAAACCATGTTAGAATGCTATTACCTTTTCAAAAGCATGCCTGGTGTGTTTTGTTTCATTCACACGTTTTAGTAATTCTATATTATTAGTCTGTTTTCATCTAGAAGGCTTACACTCCTCTGTTCCATTTTGTGATATTTTTGAGCAACCTTTTACCTTTAGTTCAGTAGAGATTGGCAATTCTATAAATTATATTATTCAAATGATTCTAGTGAAGGTGGGAGGTGGATGGAGTTAGGGTTAGGTTTGGTTTTTTTGGTATGTTTGTGATGAGGAAACAACATTATAACAGAGATCAGCGTAATATGGGCCCTGTAAGCCTAAAAACATTTATCAAATAACTATGTATATATTGTAATTACGGTAACAGGCCTATGTATAATCGACTACTGTAATATGCAATGTTTTGTTTTGTCAGGTTTAAAAACCATTGTAGCTGCACTGATTCAGTCCGTGAAGAAAATGGTGGATGTCATGATTCTGACAGTCTTTGCCCTTGCTGTGTTTGCACTGGTCGGGCTTCAGCTCTTCATGGGAAACCTGCGTCAGAAATGTGTGCGCTGGCCCCTGTCCAATGACACTACCTATGACTTCTTTAACACTACATCTTTATTCAATGACTCTTTATTATTGGACAACTCAACTTATGTCAACAGTACATTTGACTTCAAAGAGTATATTGAGAATCCAGGTAAAAACATAAATTTGACACAGTTCACAGTTTATTTTTCTTGAATTCTTGAAATATTATTGTTGTAGAAAATCAGTATTTTGTGGAAGGCAGTCTGGACGCTCTGATTTGTGGAAACAGCTCCGATGCTGGGTATGCTAATTTATAATATTGCATTTGTTGAATATTTCTAATCAGGTATTTTAGATTTAGATAAATATAGTTTAATCAGATACTGGACAAACAGACTGTGACTTATTTTCCGTGTTGATAGAAAGTGCCCTGAAGGATACACCTGCATTAAAGCTGGGAGGAACCCTAACTATGGTTACACGAGCTTTGACTCTTTTGGCTGGGCCTTCCTCGCTCTCTTCAGACTTATGACACAGGACTACTGGGAAAACCTGTTTCAGCTGGTTGGTACCTCTTTAATTTGATACTGTAAATAAAATATTGTTGCACTTTATAATAACTACACTTTTAATTGTCTTAATAAAGCATGAACAAAGATTCCATCCAAACAAATAGTTGGTTAAGACTGATTTAAGGTTTAGTAACTACTTAATACATACTCCTAACTCTACCCCTTAAAGTATGTATCTGATTTTTAGCATTATAAATTAACCAGTTCATTTTAAACAGTTTTCAGCTATTCATTTATTCCAAACATTGTAATTAGAGCAACGGACAGTAGACAGAGCAGAGTCTATAGTTAGCGTCACCCCCTCAGGAATGTTGATGACATTGCCTGCAAAGTATAAAAATATCAAATCAACTATTTGTTCATTATGAATTATTTGCTTGAGGAATTGACCAAAGCTTTTGTCCTAAGTTCTCGCAGTTTCTTTCACACGTGCCTCACAGATCCTGCGTGCGGCTGGAAAGACGTACATGCTGTTCTTTGTGGTGATCATCTTCCTGGGCTCATTCTACCTCATTAACCTGATCTTGGCTGTAGTTGCTATGGCCTACGAGGAGCAGAACCAGGCCACGATGCGGGAGGCCATCGAGAAGGAAGAGGAGTTTCAGAGACTGCTAGAGCAACTCAGGAATCAGGAACAGGTACTGTACCTGCCACGAGAAATGAAAACAAGGACGTTTTAATGTTTCTGATGTTGGGTTGTGCAATTATTAATGATTTGATTTTGGATTTTGACATCCAAGCTCAAAATTAATCATTGATTTTATTACACCAATAGCATAGGTTGAAAATAAATTAAAATTACACTGCAAGTTTCTATCCTGAAAATGAAAAATGGTCATTCATATAAGCAAAACTGCCCTGAATTAGAAAATTATTTAATTGTTTGTAATTCTTCCGAGCAGTATATGTAAATACAGTATATGTACAGTGCAGATAACACTGATGCCTCCTTGACTATTAAATTCTCTTGTAGGCCCACCTTCATGGGAGTCATGTGACTCTCACCAGTAAAAAGTCCCTCAGTCATCACACAGCATCAGAAGGAAAAAACAGCCCTGAACATGAGGAGGTCACAAAGGACTGCAATGGGAGGGTCATTCCTAAACTTCTTGTCAGAGTCCCCACTATGGTGGAGGTAAAAACAAAAAGAACATTTTAGTAAATTATCATTTTAAAGATATTTTAAGGGTGTGATTAATTTGTAAATTGAGAATAATTTGTTCTTTTGTCACAATTGTTATTCAGGTTCCCCCTGATGAGGAAGAGACAAAAAAGTCCATAGGCTCTGATCGCAGCAGCATGCTTCATGCTGAGGAACCAGGCCTGACCATCAGAACAGCGAGTGCCCTCACAGTCGCTACTATGGCAGCCATGGAAGGTATAGTACCTTTTGCACATCTTTATTTTTGGTTGATTAGGTCTAAAACATTTTGGACACACAGATCTCTAAATCTCTATCTACTGTTTATCATAGTTTAGTATTAGCAGTGTACAGTTCAGGCCTAGCACAGTAGCTTTGTTATCCTGAATTACATTCTGTAGCTGTATCCAGGATTATCCCTGTACATGTAACATCAACATTTGGTGCTGTGGCCTGTGGTGTTAAGCTTGGGGTATTTTAATCCAACTTAGACCTGCCAATCAAAGACAGTTTATTAAGTCACTTCGTATTGGACAAGTACAGCGATTCTCAAAGCTATTTGCACTATGTACCACCTAACTTAATAACTGGCTTTTTGAATTCTACCAGACCTAAATCTTGACTTTATCAGACCTAAATTATGGCCAAGACTTGTAAATCATGATTCATCCAAAGGACAACAAGAACATTATTAAATTTCTCTTTAAATAAAATAAATATTCAAACGGCATAGACCTCCACATACTACCAGTCATACTTGAGAAACACTGCACTATTGAAGCCTATGAAAGCATATTTACGCCATACTTTGACTGCTGTTTGCCTCTTTTTGTCTAGAGTTGGAGGAGGCACAGCGGCCATGCCCACCTGCCTGGTATAAGTTTGCCGACATGTTCTTGAAATGGGACTGCTGGGAACCTTGGGTCAAGTTTAAGAAGAAGGTGTACTTTGTTGTGATGGACCCTTTTGTGGATTTAGCCATCACCATCTGTATTGTCCTGAACACCCTGTTCATGGCAATGGAGCACTATCCCATGACTCCGGAGTTTGACCACATGCTCTCTGTCGGCAATCTGGTAAACAACTGTTTCACAATGAAATATGTTTATTTTAAAATGGACTCTTCACTAAACCTACACTAAAGCTCAAAATCTACTTTTTTGCTAGTAAAGTGTATATATGATGTGCTGATGATATGATGTTCCCAGTCCTTTTTGGGCAATTTGAGTGCAAACCATGTAAAAATGTAACTGGGGCAACAGTAGGTCAGGCTACGTTTATACGATGACGGTCTGAACAGAAGACGCAAAAGTGGTGTCGCGTCTTCACTTTTTATTCCGTGTTTAGACAAGCGTTTTCTGGAGGAAATCTACGTGCATACTGTGACGCAAAAGTGTGTGGAATTCGATTGGGTATGCATGCCAGGTGGCTAGGTGGTGATGCTGGGTGGTGATGTATGTGACGTAAACGTACACACGACATGAGCAGATGTGACCAGAGTTTCCGTCTACACTGCCCAAGACGGGCAGTGTAGACGGAAATGCTACAGCGGAGCGTATTCAACTTTGCCACTCTGGAGGGTGGTTTCAGATTTTTGCGTTTTTAAGTCCCAAAAACATTGTAATTGTCTATATTTTGTCGTTCTTACCCACAAGCATTCTCTTGTAAACTGGCCCTAAGTTGGTGTTTTTCACTGATCGGAAGGTTGGGGACTGGAATCCCACTCTTGACATAAACATCACTGGTTAGTGATGGGTTGATGGTGCGATTCCAGATCCCACAGATACTTTTTTTGTGTCCTTGGGCAAGAACTTAATCCCCCTCATCCCCAGTTTCTGTGTACACTGGTGTATGAATGTGTGTGCGAATGGGTGTTTCCTTGATGAAAAGCACTTTGATTGCATTGAAGGTGGAAAAGCGATATATAAAAATGTGACCATTTACCAGCTTTGTGGTCAAAAACAGTATGGCCTCCAGTGGCCACTGTAATGTCAAGTACTATGTGACATCACTCATGACTGCCCTCACTACAGCTAGGTGTTTCTGATTACAAACACCTGAATGCAGGGGCTTAGTTTGAAATATGGATACCTGTTAATCCCGTCATTCAGACCCTGCCCCTTTTCCCTCCATGCTGTTCTTTAGTCTTTCAGTTATTGCCCAGTTCTAGCAGCTCTATTTGCTATGTGTTGCACGAGTTTAGGTGTTTAGTCCCACTTTAATAACTGTAATAAAATCCTCCTCTTCTATCCCTAGGTTTTTACCGGTATCTTCACAGCTGAAATGTTCTTCAAGCTCATAGCCATGGATCCATACTACTATTTTCAAGTGGGATGGAACATTTTTGACAGCATTATTGTCACTCTGAGTTTGGTTGAACTCGGGCTGGCCAATGTCCAAGGGTTATCTGTCCTGAGGTCATTTCGTCTGGTAAGAAAGATTTCAATTCTTTGTTTGATTGTTGCTTTTTCTTGCAATTACATGACACTTACTGTTCTTTTCGAGACAGCTTCGAGTCTTTAAACTGGCGAAGTCGTGGCCCACACTGAACATGCTGATCAAGATCATTGGAAACTCGGTGGGAGCTTTGGGAAACCTGACTTTAGTGCTGGCCATTATCGTCTTCATCTTTGCTGTTGTGGGCATGCAGCTGTTTGGTAAAAGCTACAAAGACTGTGTGTGCAAGATCTCAGAGGACTGTGAGCTCCCGCGCTGGCACATGACGGACTTCTTCCACTCATTCCTCATCGTGTTTCGGATCCTATGCGGAGAGTGGATCGAGACCATGTGGCACTGTATGGAGGTGGCAGGGACTGCCATGTGCCTCATTGTCTTCATGATGGTCATGGTCATCGGAAATCTGGTTGTAAGTATTTACTGTTTTATTTATCTATTCGTATTTATTTATCTTTTACTTCAATCATTCAGTATTTGAGAGCAGAGGATTTTCTGTTTTTGCTTACAGTCATATATTTAGAAATGATTTGTTGCTTATAGATTTAGGTTACTGTGTGTCACTGCTGTGAAGCTGCAAATCTGACAGACAACCCATTTTAATAGACTACAGTTTAACTATAATACCCTCAGATAGTGTGGTCTGTCTCAGAATATTGTTAACTTCTTGAGCCTAAGAGGCCAAAGCCAAACAGTCTGTAATGTCAAGCCTTGTAATTGTATCCAGTGGGTCCTAAGAGCAGTGTGTGACATTTTGGGCTTGTTGACGTCACTGAAGAAATTGTAAATACATTCACGTATCCTGGAGAATTACTAGAGCCAAATCCACTTCCTCTTGAGTTATTCATAGCTACAGAAAAGGAAGCTGCTCATCATAATGTGATGACAAAAGTGTTGTAGAGTACCATGCCAGAAATAATCCAGGCTTTTTTGTGGTTCACACTTCACCTCACAGCGTTCAGTGCATGCATGCACATTTAGAAACATGGCCACCATTCACAGTGACATAAAGCCACATAATAAACTTACGCACTTCATCAGCGGCCGTTTCTATTTAAAGCCAATGACCAGTGGTCAAACCGTGCATCTGACCTTGAATACGTGTTAAGACCTGGCTCTAGTGAGCATGCAGCCGCTGCTGTCACAAACACAGACAGCTGGGGCAGCAGAGAGCAGGTGGGGCAAGTCAACTGATTATGATGAGCTATAATTGACTGGATTAATCTAATGCAATATTGACTGAGCTCTCATTAGTAACTACAATAATGTGTCAGAAATGGGTTACATTCACGGTGCTGCTGCAAATCCGTCTGACATTACTAGAAAATCAGTTTGAAAATATATTACATAACAAGTCTGGTCAGGTGCATAGTCGCAGAGTGGTTGACACTGTGGGCTTGTTAAAGATGAGATGACTTTGCTGAGTTTGAGTTATACAGCATGAGCTCTAGAGTTCAGCCCCTGTGTTTTATGGGGTGAGTGAACCAAGCGTATTTGGATCAGACAGTTAGATTTCAGCTGCAATAGATGAGTTCAGAAAAAGAGTATTTTGTATAATTATTTATTTTACGGCAAAGACACCAACTCAACTGTAGCTGTTGATCTGCAGTCTACAGACAGTGACACTTACTGAGTGCAGACAGATTCAGCCTTTTACAAGCCCATGAATTATATCCCTGTATAAAGAAATCTGTTCCTATCTTGTTTCCACTTATTTATTGCTGAGACAGTTTGAGGGGCTCATTCGTGCCTGTTAGCCTCCTCTTCCTGCCTCACAGCTTGGACACAGGAATGCACGGGACTAGCTCGCACTGGCTCAATGTAACTGTGATCTCTCTAAACCTGAGGAAGAAGAACTGTGAAAGCGTCTAACAGGCTTTACAAACTAAAGATAGAAGTCTATGTGTTTGGAGACAGATAACATAATATTTACTGAGACTCCTACAGCTTGGAGTTGATATGTGATGTTATGTGAGATGCTCTTCACAGTGACTTTAGCCACTTTAGCGACCAAGGGTTAACCAAGTTTCCACTCCAGGCACAAGGAAAATATACCACCCCGTATTAATATAGTTTCCATACTAAATGATCACTGACAGGTGAAGTCATTTACACTGGTTATCTCCTCATCATGGCACTCATTAGTGGTTAGGATTTAAATGAACTGTCTGTAACCTGCGCTCTTTCTGTTTTAAAGGTACTACCATCACTGAACCTTAACCTGCAAACCTGCAAAGTTTTTCTCATTTTCAGTGTATGGACAACATATAACGCAGCAGCAGAGGCCGCTCTAGCACTGAAAAATGATTGGCTGCAGGTGGTGGGGTTTGGGTAGTGATCATTCACATCAGAGGGAGTCCTTTAGGTTATTTTATATAAATTTCAGCATTGAATCTGGCAACCCAAATGAGACACTTGAATGCCTTGAATTGAATGCTCATAATGATTTCTGATCAGATAATCTTGAGAACCAAAACACCAAATTATAAATATTTAACAACCTGGCCATCATGTCCAGTGTTTTTGTAAGTAAGAAAAAAAGCAATATTGCAATTGTCATAAGAAAGGCCTATATATAAATATCATATCTGGGGACACAGTTATGGAATTTTAAATAAAAATGTTACATATAATTCCTTTAAAAACAAACAAAAAAATTATGTCTTCAAGTCTGATGAAAAAAATGCAATGCAAAAAGTTATATTTTTGCTCCTTTTTTGTATAACCTTCTGATCCATCTGAAATTTTTTGATTCACTAGCAAGGACCATGCCACAACAATGAAATAAGATAAAGACGTTTATTGACAGTGGATAAATGTGATGAGTATAATCTCCAATCCAAAATGGTCACCCAGCTGAATCAAACCCCCCCTCCTTGAAGATGACGTCTTTGGACTGAAGGATGGGTGAAAGACACGGGTGGGAGGGAACGGGTTGAGAGAGCTGATGCGGACGCTGATTTCAGGATAGGCCGTATAAATAGGGTTTCTGGTTAATTGGAGGCGTTTTTGAGATCAGCTGTGGTTGGCTGTAGAGGAGGTTCAGGCATGGTCCAGCTCCTGAATCTCAGTTAATCATATTAACTCCAGTTAACGAAAAAAGTGGACGGAGATAGGGGATATGTGACAACAGCCTAAGGCTTAAATGTAGAACAAGGCAGGGTTACTCACAAATCAAACAAGACCTCACTCTGAGTAAACACATGATAAATGGTATAACAAACATTATTAAAGTCAATTTTACATAATATCTTTGACATTTTGAGGCTTCTACTATCTACTATTCAGCTATCATATTTTATAATCATAATGTTTTTCTTTCTGGCAGGTCTTGAACTTGTTCTTGGCCTTGCTGCTCAGCTCCTTCAGTGGAGATAACCTGGCTCCTGGGGAAGAAGATGGAGAGATGAACAACCTCCAGATTGCTATTGGCCGGATCAAACGGGGGATCGCTTGGCTAAAATCATACATCATCACAAAAGCTTTGCAGATACTTGGGAGAAAACCAAAGGAAGAACCAGACAGTAAAATGGAGGAAATTGAGATGAATCATTTGGAGTCTACTCAAGCTCTGAAACTGGCTGATGGGGTTCCGAACTGTGTAGTGGAGGGTCCTGCCTCTGAAGCTGCTGTGGAGGCGGAGCTTGGATTTAATGTACCAATGGCAGAGGGAGAGTCAGACTTTGAAATCGTAGATGATGATGAAGATGATGATGAAGAAGAAACTTCCTTAAATGAAGATACAAGTGATAATAAAATGTTTGAAATGGTAATTATACTTGTCATTAAAGGGCCCATATAACACTATTTTCTGATCTATGTTATAATGTTGTTACCTGCTCCAAAACATACTCAGAGTTGTGTTTTATCTCATTCACACATGTTTAACACCAAAATCAGAAAACACTCTGTTCCACCTAGTGATGTCATGTGGGAATGCAGGAAGTACTCCACTGTTTTTCTAAACTCCATATACATTCACTAGAATCATTTGGATAATTTTAGCTCTGTAATTGCCAATCTCTACTGGACAAAGGTTAAAGGAGCTGTTAACTTGAAGACTACTGCTTCATGACATCACGAGGTGAAACAGAGCAATTTGAGTAAATATATTATTAGTCTGTCAACATTTCTAAAGCTCAAACATGTGTGAATGAACCAAAACACAACTCCAGGTATGTTTCTGAGGAGATAACAACATTATAACATGGCTTAAAGCTCACAAAAGACAATTTTACGCATTATAGGATCTTTAACTTGTAATAGCAATTCATTACATGGTAGTGAGATTAGGTGTTGTAGAGTGTTTGGGTTACAACTAAATATATATTAGCTAAAGCAGTACATATTTGTATCCTTGATTTCTGTATTTTTATAGAGAAAAACAAGAAGTAAAGATCTTTGGTATCGAGGCGTCAAAGTAAGAAACATAATTAAATGTGTTTCTGATGATTTCTGTTAAAGCAAACTAACTGTGTTATCTGTGGTTAATGTTAGCTCCAAGGTGCGTTCAGTGGAGATGGGGATTCTTCAGTCTGCAGCACAGCAGATTATCAGCCATCAGAGTCTGAGCCAGAGGAGGTGGAGGAGGAGGAGCCTGATCCAGTGGAACCAGAGGCCTGCTTCACTGACAGTGAGAAATACACACACTTATTTCTCTTTAAATGTGCATGAGGAAGTTTAATATCTTAGTAATTTTACAGTGACAAATTGCTGTTTTGTCATTTATGTTAGTTATATAGCAGTGACACTAACTTTGAAACCATATTACAGTGATATGGTGGCCCAATTCTGTTTGGTGTTTTCATCTTCTTGTGTGTGGGTGGGTTTCTTTCTGGCACTTTGTTTCCTCTCTCATTGAAGGATGAGCCAATTACAATAATGTCTGCAAAATAAAAAAATAAAAAATAGTTGAATAACTTAGATATTTCTGTATGTTTAAAGACTGCGTCCGGCGCTGGCCCTGTCTCTTCGTGGACATCACTGAAGGTAGAGGTAAAATCTGGTGGAACATTCGCCGCACCTGCTTCACTATTGTGGAGCATGACTGGTTTGAAACGTTCATCATCTTTATGATCCTCCTCAGCAGCGGGGCCCTGGTAGGTGCTCTTCATTTACATTAAGTACATTTTTTTTAAAGTGCATATATTATGCTATTTCCTATGCTATTATATATGTTATAATGTTGTTTCCTCATCAGAAACATTCCTGGTGTTGTAATTTGCTTCATTCACATATGTTTGACACACAGACACTGCATAATTAGGCTACGTTCTGAAAAACACTCTACCTTGTGATGTCATGTGGTAATGCTGGAAGTGTTCAGTTTTTAAACTCCACCTTCACTAGAATAATTAGGATGCATTCAGCTTTGGAATGGCCAATCTCTACTGAACTAAATGTAAAAGGAACTGTTAACTTGAAAACTACCGACATTATAAGGAGGAACAGAGCATTTTGAGCTTTGGAGATGTAGATAGACTTATAAGGGTTACTCAAACGTGTGTGAATGAAACAAAATACAACTCATGACTTAAAGCTTACAAGAGTAAATTTTACATAATATAGGTCAACAAATTTTGACAAATGTTTCTTTTTAGGCCTTTGAGGACATCAACATCGATCGCAGACGGACAATTAAAATTATACTGGAGTATGCAGACAAAGTCTTCACCTACATCTTTGTCATTGAAATGCTTCTGAAATGGGTGGCGTACGGCTTCAAGACATACTTCACAAATGCCTGGTGTTGGCTGGACTTTTTCATTGTTGATGTAAATTCCACATTCTCTATTATTTTTGTTAGTGTTCGCATTGTACAAAAGCTCTTCATTACTAAAAATTATTGACACAGAACTTTTATGACTCTGCCTCAGATTTCCCTGATTAGTCTAGTTGCCAACTGGCTGGGCTTCTCGGAACTTGGACCAATCAAATCCCTCCGAACCCTCAGGGCACTCAGACCTCTTCGAGCTTTGTCAAGATTTGAAGGAATGAGAGTAAGTTTTCTTTTATATATGCTTTTAGTCAAACGTTTCCTCATTCAATTTTTTTTGTTTTTTCTTACTATTTTCTACATTTTAGATACAGACAGAAGATATCAAAAATGATAATATTATTTAGTAAAGAAAGAGTTAAATAACTCTACTAAATATTTTTCAGCAAAGCAAAGGGTACTGAATTTGAAGATGTGGTTATAAAATGTTAAAAAAAACGTTTATTTCTTTGTTACATAATTCCATATGTTTTACTTCAAGAAAATAGTAAACATAGAAAAAAATATTGAATGAGAGGGTGTGTCCAAACTTTTGCCTCGAAAATAATTTAACTAATAATAATAATTTAATGCTACTAATTTGACTGGCTTGTGTTTGTGAGTTTTATGCTTGAATGCTTACTCACTGGACGTACAGTAAGAGCTGCTTTGGTAAGAGCAATGATTAGTTATATCTTTTTTTATTACCTTAACATTCTTAAGTACGTCACAAATATTCTCTGGATTGCAGGTTGTGGTCAATGCCTTAATTGGGGCCATTCCCTCCATCTTCAATGTGCTGCTGGTTTGTTTGATCTTCTGGCTCATCTTCAGCATCATGGGAGTCAATCTTTTTGCTGGAAAGTTCTATCGCTGCATCAACACCACAACGTCAGAGATCTTACCAATGTCAGAGGTTAATAACAAAAGTGACTGTCTGGCCCTTCAAGAAGAAACACAAGAGGCGCGCTGGGTCAATGTCAAAGTCAACTATGACAATGTGGGAAGTGGATACCTCTCCCTTCTTCAAGTGGTGAGATGTTGTTTTAAGGTCCTATATTACGCAAAAATGACTCTTGTAAGCTGTAAGCCATATTAGACCGTTCTTACCTCATCAAACACATACCAGGAGTTGTGTTTTGGTTCATTCACGTGTTTCAATAATCCTGCATTATTTGGCTGTCTCCATTCCCAAAGCTCAAAATGCTCTGTTCCACTTTGTGATGTCATGAAGCGACATTTTTCAACAAGCAGCTATATTTTAGCTTTTATTCAGTAGAGACTGGTAATTACAGGGTTAAAATGATTCTAGTGAAGGTGTGTATACTTTAAAACACAGTGGAGTACTTTCTGAATTACCTTTATAACACAGATGTGAAAATAGTGTTGTTTTTTTTATAATATGCTCCTCTCATGTGAATGAAAACGTTACTGTTAAAAATATTATCTGCAGGCAACCTTCAAAGGGTGGATGGACATCATGTATGCTGCTGTTGACTCAAGAGAGGTACTTTCACTGTATTTTTAATAAAACTCTATATACCTATTTTACTTTTACATCAATCCAATATATAATCATATATAAACAATGCTATCTGTTTGGTCTGAGTTGCTGTTTATTAGGATATGATCATAGATCTTGTTTCTCACCTGATTTTCAGCCTGAAGAGCAGCCTTCATATGAGATCAACTTGTACATGTACATGTACTTTGTCATCTTCATCATCTTTGGGTCATTTTTTACTCTCAACCTATTCATTGGTGTGATTATTGATAACTTCAACCAGCAAAAGAAAAAGATAAGCATACATATAATAATACATTTTCTTTCATAATGTTGTGATATTAATGTGCAAGTTAAGGGTAAAAAGTCCCTCGAGTAATCAGATTGACTGTTTCTGTACTTTGGAGATAAGGACATCTTCATGACTGAAGAGCAGAAGAAATATTATGAGGCCATGAAGAAACTGGGTTCAAAGAAGCCACAGAAGCCAATCCCACGTCCAACAGTAAGTATTCTGGATGTGTATTTAACCTGGATACTGGATATTATTGTGAAGTGAACACAAACTGGTTTAGCTTTGAACTGTGGGTGTGAAAAGGTCACTTGACTCACCCGGATTTGTGCCTCTGTCCAAACCTCTCCCCTGTCCCCTCTGACCTTTGACCCCAGAACCCATTTCAGGGCATGGTTTTTGACTTCATCAGTCAGCAGCCATTTGACATCTTCATCATGGTGCTCATCTGCCTCAACATGGTGACAATGATGGTGGAAACGGACGACCAGAGCCCAGGGAAGGAGGACTTCCTGTTCAAAGTCAACGTGGCCTTCATTGTGGTCTTCACCGGAGAGTGTGTGCTGAAGCTGATTGCCCTCAGACAGTATTTCTTCACAAACGGATGGAACGTTTTTGATTTTGTTGTGGTCATTTTATCCATTGCAGGTCAGTGTCAAATGCAGTACACCGGGAAAAATTGTTTGCGTTCAATAATAACGACTTATACAATACAATATACAATACACGAGAATACTGTGCCTTATACTGTATGAAGAAGTGTTATTACTACAAACTACTTACTGCTAACCACAGACTATATAAAGAAATGGACTTAGAGACTGTGACGTCGACCAGATTGTTGAGCTACAGTGAAATGAAGCTCACAAGGAAAGCAGTTACAGGAGCGAATTTGGAGTTCTAAAATAAGAATAGGAATTTATTAATGGACAAAAAGTGAAATAAAAACACCAGGATTATGTAGAGCGGGTTAATATGAACATTAGCTCTGTCCATTAATATATTCAGTCTATGCCACCAGAGTTCAGAACTTGCAAGTCATGACTTGAGCCACTATTTTTAGGACTTGAGACTTGATTTGATAAAATAGACAAAGACTTGGGACTCGACTTGGACTTGAGGCCTGTGACTTGAGAAGACCTGATTAGATAGACTAGTTGATAAATGGAGTGCACTCTTAACCGATGTTTACTACTGTTGGTGTAGTGACACAAATTTAGCTGCTTAAAATTAAATCTATATAAGTCAACCTATGTTTTTTTCCCAAGGTTTATCTTAATATTGTTTTCTTTGTGTTTTATTATGTGTTTTGGGGTTCACTGTTATCTGGTACTTTAGTCAACTGGGGTTTTAAAATGTGCTATACAAATCAATCTGAATGACTATGAATACATTATTGTCTTTAATCCTATGCATTTCATTTATTTCAGGCACCATGCTGTCGGACATCATAGAGCAGTACTTTGTGTCTCCTACTCTGTTCCGAGTGATCCGTCTGGCTCGAATTGGGAGAATCCTGCGTCTCATCAAAGGGGCAAAAGGCATCCGGACACTCCTCTTCGCTCTGATGATGTCACTTCCTGCTTTGTTCAACATTGGCCTCCTCCTCTTCCTCATCATGTTCATCTTTTCTATTTTTGGCATGTCCAACTTCGCCTATGTCAAAAAGCAAGCCGGGATCGATGACATTTTTAACTTTGAGACTTTTGGCGGGAGTATCATCTGTTTATTTCAGATCACCACCTCCGCAGGTTGGGACGGGCTTTTACTTCCGATGTTGAACAGGGAAGCTCCAGACTGCGACCCAGACTTCGAGCACCCGGGCACAGATGTGAAAGGAGACTGTGGCAGCCCTGGTATGGGTATGATGTTCTTCTGCAGCTATATTATTATTTCATTTCTGGTTGTGGTCAACATGTACATCGCCATCATCTTGGAGAATTTTAACGTAGCACAGGAAGAAAGCGGAGATGCACTCTGTGAGGACGACTTTGACATGTTTAATGAAACCTGGGAGAAATTTGACATTGAAGGATCTCAGTACATCGAATACAGCCAACTTTTTATATTTTGTGACACATTACAAGAACCACTAAAGGTGCCTCTATCTAATCGCCTCCGCCTTATCGAAATGGACATACCTTTAGTGACTGGAGACAGGATTCACTGCACTGATGTGTTACTAGCTGTTACTCAAATGGTCCTAGGAGACACTGTGGAGATGGCAGCAATGCGTGAGAGTATCTTGGCAAAGTATGCACTCAGTAACCCCAAGAAAGACTCATTTGCCCCCATTGTCACAACTATTCGTCTCAAAGAAGAGCTCCAGTCCGCCATAATAATACAGAAAGCTTACCGCGCGCACTTACTGAAACGCTGCATACGTCACGCCGCCTTCATGCACCGTTCTCTGAGGATAGGGAGGAGGGACGAAGATGAAGAACCTCCAGAAAAACAGGGTCTTTTGGCTCGAAGGATGGGGGTCCTCTATGGCAGAGACCGGGAGCTGGCCGAGGAGATGGAGCGGGCAGATTTAAAGACTTTAGAGGAGCAGAACCCTCAGACTCACAGAGACTCAGAAAGCCCTGAGCCAGATCGGCCTCATCTCATAGTCGTGCCTGTGGAGATTACCAATGAGGTTTTGTTACATTCAGCCCCAAACACTTGCCCCTGTATCCCCTTTGAAGACTTAAGAGAGTCCATTGTATAACAAACAAGAGGGATAATGTTTACTGATTTTTTTACTGATCAGAACTGGAGTCATTATTTCTAGTTTTAGAGGTAAATGAGCCCAGGAATGAAAAATGTGAGGTTTGGTTCTACAAGAGCACTCTGACAAACTAAACATGTTAAAGGGCCCATATTACTCTATTTTCTGATTTATGTTATAACGTGTCCTCATCACAAACATACCCAGAGTTGTGTTTTTTGTTTCATTCCCACCTGTTTAACACACAAACCTGCAGGAGTGCTTTCTTTTTGACAGAAACAGGAAGTGCTCCACTTTGTGTTCTGTGTTTTTAAACTCCATACACTTTCACTAGAATCATTTGGATAATTTGGAATTTCTACTAAATCAAAGGTCAAAGATAGCTGTTAACATGAAAACTACAGTTTTGTAACATCACAAGGTGGAGCAGAGCATTTTGAGCTTTGGAGATGTAGACAGATGACAGACAGAGGCTGGTGTCACCTAGTGTCTCTGCTCCATTTCATTTCTCTCTAGCGACTAGGTCAGGATTCAGAATACACTAGACAGTTTGCAAAATCCCCGGAAGTGCAAGTTCGGGCACCAGCCAATCAGCGAAGAGCCATACATTCTGTGTTGACAACAATTTCCGACATCGAGGATTTAAAGTCGGAACAAAGAGAATGTTTGGTGAATTTTATCTAGGGGAAAGATGTTATTGTCCTTCTTCCTACGGGATTTGGGAAAATCTTAATATACCAGTTAACCCCATTAGCAGTGCATTACATACATCACAACCAAACAGCAGCGATTGGTTAAATCAAAAAGTACAAGGCTCTCGTCAAGCGAACAAATCCTAATGCTGCGAGGTCAGATGGTTTCTATGAAGTGACACCGACTCATGAATCAGGCTGGTAGACAGACCAATAAACCAGAATTACTCAAACATGTGTGAATGAAACAAAACACAACTCCAGGTCAATTTTGCGTGATATAGGACCTTTAAATGTATACAATCAGATGGGTGTGGTAGAACGGGCAATAGAAATATTGTAAACTCTCTCTCAAAATATGGGGTTGTATAGAAACACTGTTAATTTAGCAGAGCACAAAATGTGACCAGTGTGAAACAGTTGAGTCATTAGTGGCCCTGGTAAACGAATGCAGTATTTAAAGTGACTGCTGACAAACTGGGTAGAGCTAACTGGCAGAGCTAAAGGCCCAGTTTATATTGCACTATTTATACCTACCTATGCCTCCAAGTCCAACTCAAACAAGCTCAGACCCTCTGACACTGCTCTTTCCTGATATAAGTATAGGAGAGCATTGTTTGTTAGTTTAATGTGCATATGACAGGATAGATTACTAATTTCTCAAAGCATAGTTAACATAATTTTACAAAAAATAGTAAGTTTAGCATAGTTTTTCTCCTTTTTTATTTTGGTAAAATTCATAGTTTAGCTTCCTGGTTGGACACAGGTAGCAAATTTGACATATGTAGGGGTAATTGGCCTGTCACAATAACAAATATTGAAGTACGATATATTGCTGAAATAAATCTAGATGATAAACAAATTTTGAAGCGAAACCATACAGTAGAATTATGCTCCAAAAGTATTCTAAATGTACAATATTGTTAAAAACTTGAGCTGCAATAAATAAAAAGTATTAAGTAGTTAGTTTGTGTCTAATGAGTTATAGAAGTTCATAATTCAATCCTCTAGAGCCCAGATCTCATTGTATTACAGAAAAATAACCAGGTTTTCATAATAGTACAGAGAAAAAGTACCCACGAGAAATATTGACCCCCAAAAAATGGCTGTTCCATCTATCATGTATTGACCAATAAGTTCATATAGTATTTATTGTGACAGACCTAAGAGGTAATTCCATAACTTATCAACCAATCAACCATATTAAACTTGCCTAAATTGCACCATAGCTATGATTAGACTAATAAAAATAAATGGTGACATCTTTATTTTGTTAAATGAAAGTTTAAATTGTCAGAAAAAACCTTCCTTGTGCATAAATTGTCCCTTGCATTTTGAATGGAATTTTCCATGTTAATGACACAAGTAGAAGTATTCTGTTTCAGAACTTCCTGTGTTTTTGTTCTTTTCTTCTCAACTTTTTCCCCACAAACTGCCACTTAACTGATGTAAAACTATGCTAAATATTTACCACAAGCACTATCCCACCAAACCAAGTGATAATTAGAAAAACAAGAAAACCTGTCATAAGCACTTTAAGCTCAGTATAAACGAAGTACTGTTCAATGTCCATTCATTTATGATGTGGGGTTAGATCCAGGGACTGTATGTAAAAAGCTTCACTCACCGTCTTAACTGAAATGTCTTATTCATATTCTGTATTTTCAAGCACTTTTACAGTTTTCTAGTTTTCTATGACTTTGCCCTATCTCAGTCCTACTGGAGGAAAAAGAGTCTGCTGTGTGTCCAGTGACCTGCAGAAAAACAGCTAAACTAGTGCAAACTTTAATATACAGCAAGTAAAGTAAAGTCCTTCTATGTTTACATCTCAATGAAGAAAGAGCCACACCAGTTCCTGGTCACACTTTTCTGTATTGTAAATGTGTATATTTTGTTATTGATCAATTTTATCTGAAGTGGTAGAGTAATAAACAGACATGGGAGATGTTCTTATTGTTGACTGCCCTCTAGTGACTGTTTTGGGACATAGCAGTGTGTGTTTGCCCCATCTATGCATGTTTACTACCACGAATAAGAAATTATTACACAAAAGTGATACTGTTTTAAAGAGATAAGCTCTTACACTAAGTCAGTGGAAATTATTTAAGTTCACAGTTTTGACTGTTCTGGTCTCTACATGCTTCACTGTGTAGATAACACATCGTTCACTACACCAGTACTTAAAACCACATTATGTAACATTTTAGATATAATGTAGTTAGTTAATATTAGTTATAATATATAAATATATATAATAGACTAAAATAAAAGCATTTTTATTTTTTTGTTTTTTAATTTTGGTTATTTTAGTGCACTTAAAATGTTTTACATGTCTCCTTACCTTAGACTGTATAAATCTTTTTACAGTCTATGGTCCTCTCATCTTCACAAACCTGACTCTTACTTGGCCTGGAGGAGTGTTTCCATAAAAAGTTTTTTTTTGGCTATAATATTTCATAGTAAGGCATAAATCTTATCTCCATCTAGAGTGAAGTAGGTTTTATCTTTCTATTTCCATGGACTGATGCAGGTAACATGCCAGCCCCAGAAAGTTACATACTGTACTTTTAAACAAACCAAGTGTATTTCAGTTGTTTCACATTTTGTTTAGATTTGTTGTGTTTGAAATCTCTAAGTGTGAATATTTAAAGTGTTTCAGTTCCACAAAGAGCCCCCACCTCCTCGTGTATCAGTTCAGTGCAGACTACAGCAGCGGAGAGAGGTGCTTCTTATTACACTGTGTACTTGCACATTGTTAATGCTATAGATTTATTACAACTTTCATCTGAATTTATTTATTTTGGTGGATCATTTAGTGGAGAAATGTCTCTTTTGACTGCCACTGTGTGCTGGCTTCTGGCTGGATTCTGTGGACTAACTTTGCTTCCTGTTACAGGTAATTTGGTTTAATCAACTCATTATATGGTGTAGAAAATATATTAAACCACTTTTGTATATAGTTATTCAATATAAGATGTTAAAAGTAATTGTTTTTTAATTATTATTCTATTTGAGGTTTTGTTCAGTCACTTTATTCCTGTTTTGCATGCTATTCTTGCCACAGCCTACTATATTTCCTGTCCATCTGGAGCAAAGAGGAACTTCTCTTAACTTTTAAAAACATCTTTGTTTTCATTTTTATCAATGACAAACCACTGACATGTTGCAGTCTTCATAACAGTTCATTTATTTATTGTACTTTATTATTAAAAGTGCACTATGCAACTTTTCAGATGTAGGGTCCATCACCTGCTTGTCTCATTATGGTATTAAACAGTCCTATCTCTATAGAGACAAAATTAATTACAGATTAGCAAATTACAGATCAGATCTGGTAAAGACGAGCCCATTAACAGTAAGAATGCATGTTTATAGGTCAGATCTGGTAAAGACGAGTCCATTAACAGTAAGAATGCATGTTTATAGGTCAGATCTGGTAAAGACGAGCCCATTAACAGTAAGAATGCATGTTTATAGGTCAGATCTGGTAAAGACGAGCCCATTAACAGTAAGAATGCATGTTTTTCAAGTTGTTGTTTTTTTTTTTGCAGACCTTACAGTCAAAACGTTACTCAGTGCCCTTTTAACATTTCCTATATACATCAATATTGTTCGTCTGAATTCTTTTGCCTTGTCAGATGCTGCTACCCCAGTCCTCCAGATTATCCAGAAGCCCCGGTTCTACGGCGTGATGACTGGAAAGAAAGTGGCTATTTATTGCAAGGCTTACAACCAGACAAACCTCCACTGGTCGGCCCGCTGGCACAAAGCCTCCAAGTACGACTCAGAGAAGATGCCGATACAGCCTGGAGAGAGGATCAAGTTTCGTCACATAAACAAGATGCAAAACAGTATCCTCATAATCTCGGATTTACGAAGAGGGGACCAGGGAGTGTACTTCTGTGAGATCAACAAGGTGTCTGGACCAGGGACCGAAGTGCAAGTGGCCAGTGAGTAACACATGACTGATCACAGAAAACCCACTCAACCAAAAAGAGCAGATTTCAAGATGTTTCAAGTGAGTTAGTTAAAGTGCATACAATAGGCAGAGCAGTAGACAAAGGGGGGACTAAGGGGTCTGTTGTTCCACGCTCCAGGGTTTTAGAGGCCCAGATTTGGACTCTCTTCCTATTAATTTATATTAGAGTGGGGCCCATGTGAGACTTTTTGCCCTGGGCCCCCAAATTTCTATTGATGGGCCTGATGACAGGTTTTCATGATACTCTAATTTTGATTTAATTTGGATTATACCTGCTGTAAATATAAATTATTATTTTACACAACTCAAGAAGCAATTTGTGAAGAAAAGTAAAAAAATATGCAAATTACAGGAAGCACTGAACCAAAAAGAGCAGATGAAGCTGTTTGAAGTGAGTTAGTTAAAGTGCATATGGCAGGTTTTCATGATACTCTTATTTGTACTTAAAGGGCACATATTACAATATTTTCTCATGTATGTTATAATGTTGCTTCGTCATTAAAAAACATACCTGGAGTTCTGTTTTGTTTTTTAATCACACATGTTTGAGACACACCCTAGATATTTTGGCTAAGTTCTTCTCTCGAACAGAAAACATTCTTTTCCACATGTGATGTCACGTGATAATACAGGAAGTGCTCCACTGTGTTTTAACACCTTCACTAAAATCATTTGGATAATTTCAGACCTGGATTGCCTATCTCTACTGAACAAAAGGCAAAAGGAGCTGTTAACTTGAAAACTACAGCTTCATAACATCACAAGGGGGAAAAGAACATTTTGATCTTGTGGTAGCATGAACCTTTTACCTTTTGTTCAGTAGAGATTGGCAATTCCAGTGAAAATAATCCAAATGATTCTAGTGAAGGTGTGTGGAGTTCAAAAACACAGTGGAGCACTTCCTGTATTATCACATGACATTTCTGTTTGAGAGAAGAACTCTCCCTAAATATGCAGGTTTGTGTGTTAAACGTGTGAATGAAACAAAACACAACTCCAGGTCTGTTTGTGATGAGGAAACAACATTATAACATAGATCAGAAAATAGTGCAATATGGGCCCTTTAACAATATTGTAGATTTAGAATAGTTTTGTGGTATAAATCTGCAATTAGACAATTAGATTTTGCATTTCATTTTGCAGTTTGTTAGAGTCTATATGACGCTATTTTCTGAACTACACATGGTATAATGTTGTTTCCTTATCACAAACAGACCTGGAGTTGTGTTTTGTTTCATTCACACATGTTTAACACACAAAACCTACATATTTAGGCAGTTAGGGAGTTCTTCTCTCAAACTGAAAACTAGAAAATGCTGGAATTACTTGAATAATTTCAGCTCTGGAATTGCCAATCTCTACTGAGTAAAAGCCAACATGTAACTTGAAAACTACCAGTGGAAGGTGGAACAGAGCATTTTGACCTATGCAGATGTAAACAGACTATTAATAAAGGATTATTCAAACATGTGTGAATGAAACAAAACACAACTCCAGGCATGTTTTTCAAGATGTGACAGCGTTATAACATGGCATCAGTTTTGTGTAATATAGGCTCTTGAACTAAAGAACAATTGTTGTGAGTTTTCTATAGCAAAGTTGTGTACCTGTGTGTCACTGTGAACCCTCTCTTCTACAGGTCCTGTAAATCTTCCCAATGTCTTATATCGGAGCCAGGTGAAGGATGGACTCATAATTTTACAAGCTCTGCTGTTGGCTATGTTCATTGCTGCCTTCATATTTCGCAAAAAGACACTGGTAAAAAATGTATTTAGGCATATTGTATATTTTGATGTGATGTTGCGATGTTTGACTTTAAAGGTGCATTGTGTATCTTTTCTTTCCCATGGAGATATTAATTGCTTTGTCTGGAATGTTTCACAGTATGGTATTAAATCTTTCTGTCTTCATGGAGTCAAACCAGATGAAGTTACAGGTCAGATCTGTGGAGAGGTGACTCCACTCACAGTCAGAATGTCTGTTTTTCTAGGTATTTTAGAGCTATAAACCCACCTGTAATTGAATAAATGTAAGGTAGACCTGTTAAATATCATATTGTGAGACATTACAGGCAGAGCAATGACGAACCCCCAACCAAAAAGTTACATAATGAACCTTTTAAGTACTGTTAGTTGTGTGATGATGATGTTTTTGAACACTGACTTGAATATAATCTATTTGTACTTACAGGCTTTAAAGCAAGATGACATCTATGAAGAGCCTGAAGTGGACCATATTTATGAGGTATTTTTGCTTTTAGTCATTATTGTTTAAAGGTGCACAGTGTAACTTTTTTTTGCTTGTCTTCATGGAGATATTGGAGGTGTCCATAACCTGGAATATTCCAAATGTCAAAGAACAGATATTGTGCTTGAGAATGCTTTATAGTTATAATACACCCTTGGTTTATAATATTATAATTTTGACATTTTAAATCACAATATTCATCCAAAATGATTTAATAAAAGAAACAAGACCACTGACTTCTGTGTTAGAAAATTGCGGTGCCCGATGGGAGCTGACATCACCATAAATGTCATCACAACAAAGAGTCAGCAACTCCTATGGATAGCTGCAGATCTTTTGTACTAAAACATGGCGCTGTCAAATTCTATGTGTATCGCAGATTTAAAAAATGAAACTGGAGAATGAAATAAGTACAGAGTAGTGGCAGTGTAGCAGTTGTGATAAAAACGGGTTGATCGTCAAAATTGTGTCTTGAAAATAAGAGCTTAAAGATTGCTCAAACATGCACGAATCACTCCAAATACAACTTTGGGTAAATGGCAATGAGAAACAACTGACGTGGTTAAAAGCTCTGAAAAGTCGATTTTGCACAAGTCTGCTTTAAGGACATCTCCATGGCTCCCCCCACCAGTAAAGTAACACAGTGCACCTTTAAATGTGATTCTTTGTGTTCCATTCAGGTGAAAAACTAAAACTATATGAACTATGAATTCATAAAAATGTCATTGTAATTTTATACAATTCTAACTGACCAAAAGGCATTTATTGCATATTATCTGAGGATACCCATTTAAAAGGCCCATCTCATGCAAAATCTCTCACATTGTATCTTCTGCACATATAAAAGCACAATTTGGGTTTTGGAACATCCATTACACAATAGTTTTGAAATCTTACTGATTTCTTGGAGACAGTCACAGACCAGGAACTATGAAAGGCCGACTATTGCTCATCCCCCCGCCCGTCCTGAGAAAGCACAGGCTCCGCCCTCCAAATGTGACGTAGGCTCTGAGTGAGCCGCCCTTCCTCTGCCCATCTCAGGGAGGGAGGGGGAGACAGGCGTGCGCCCTGATAGTGGTATGAATAAACTTTTATTCATCATGGCGATACAGTGCGTTCAGCCGCATGTGTTGGACCCGGAATCGGACAAGGACTTTTTTAGGGCACGAAGTGCAAGCACTGCGTCGGCTACAGTGGAACATTACTGATTAGTAAAGTATTAATAAACACTAGTAGATAAACTTATTATACTGTGTACACTGCAGTGTAGAACAATGAGCTTATGCTGTCGCTTTTGTTTAGGTATTCATCTTTATGACAGTTTAAGACATTATTAATTGATAATATATTCAAATATTGTACTTATAAAGTTGTTTCAACGAGTAAACATTTTTCTTTAACGTACAGAAGGTATATTTGGGCAAACTTGAATCCTATAATAATGTTCGATCAAATGAGGAGGTCATAATGTGAACAGGCGACTACTAAACATCAGTGGTCATAATGACTGGGGTGTAAGGTGTAATCACCATTTTGTTATCCTGCAGAAGTAGTGAAGACATAATACCACTGAGTGGCCACTACGTCAACTGGAGGCAGCTACAAGCAGCAATACTGTATCCAGTTATTTTAATAGATCCATGCGTCAAACGCGTGTTAGGTGTAGCTGGCTACGTCATCACTGTAGCAGGCTCATTGTCACGTGGAAGGGTGGCAGAAATATGCTGCAATTTGTTAAAAAAAACAACAACACCAAACCAATCTAAAAACCACTTCGGCGACATATACAAGCCCACACATCACTCTTAGAAGGTAGAAAGCTCTGAAAAGTTGAGTTTAACCTTAGCCAGTCTCTTGGGAGGGTTTCAGGCATGAATGGCTGAGCTGATAATATTCAAATCACAAATGTTATTTTAGTCATGTAGTAGTTTTGCATTTTTAGTTGAGTCACATTTGATCTGTTGATTTGTTGCTCTTGTAAATTCCCCAGTAACTGTTATTGTTCAGTTTATTTTGATCAGGCATCCATAGGCAGCTCAGGGGTCCTTGAGATCCTATGATTCATGTAAATAATTATCACAGACAGGTTGAAGTTTGTCACAGATGACCTAAAGAGTCAGTTTTATGTAATATAAGACCTTTATTGAAAACAGCAAATAATAAATTTTGTTTACAAATCATACAAAATTCTTACCTTTACTCTTGGATGTAAATAAATATTAATTGTATGCAACAGATATTTTACTACTACCTCAAACTGCATATACTTTCATTTATGTCTTCAAACTATTGTGAATGTAAAGTACTTAAATAGAACCACTGATTAAACAATGCAACGTTACGACTTAGATTTAGACAAACTTTACTGATCCACAAGGCAAAGAGATAAATTGTATTAATAAATAAGTAGAAAAAAATAGAGCCTGGTGTCTAATAAGACAGTTGTAGTATAGTGAAGTGGAAGGTAACGAAGTGCAAGTATAGTAGTATATAGTACTGTACTTAAGTAGAATGTTTATGTATATTTTACAGTGGATATATTTATTTCACTACATTTTCAAGCTTCATAAGAAAAAATAAGAAACTGATTAGCTACTACAAATATATGTATAATTTTTTTGTCAATATCACTTTAAAATTTTAACAAATTAACAACACTTGTGAAATACTTTGAAGTATTTTTTTTTTTCATGTGATACTTTCACTTTTGCTTGACTAACATTTACCTTTGTACTGTACTTTTACTTATGAAACAAAATTGAGTACTTCTTTTACCACTACGAATACAAGTAAAAATGAAAAATATATAAATACAGTAATACAGATATATCTCCCGGCTACATAAAACTAAACATAAAAGCATAAAACTACAGCAGAAACACATCAGGTAACTTTGTTTTTCTCTCTGACAGGGTTTGGCGATTGAAACTTGTGGAGGAGGAGACTTGTATGAGGAGATCTCTGTTTACGCCCAGCCGGAGGGAGCAGAGGCCCCATGGGAGTAAAAGATAAAAACAGCACAGTTTTACTCTTGAGTGATGAACTGTGAAATAGACCATGAATGAGTAGGTGAAGATAGAGCACAAGAATGTCTTTATTACTGCAATGTTCGTTCAACGTGCCATTAGTTTGAGTACACAGACATTTACAGCACAATACAAACGCTTCAAGATGCATCGTGTAACTTTTCTGGTGAAGGGTCCATCAATTTTCTCTGTGGAGATATTATTGCTTTGTCTGGAATGTTTCACAGTATGACATTAATCCCTTTTATCATGAGGCCAAATCAGACCAAGTTACAGGGCAGATCTGTGGAGAGGCGACCCCACTCACAGTCAGAATGCCTGTTTTTTTTTTAGGTATTTTTGAGCTATAAAACCACCTGTAATTTAATAAGAGTGAGTTAGAGCTGTTTAATGGTGTACTGTGGAACATTCCAGACAGAGCAATGACATACTGTATCTACAGAAACCAGCAGGTTATGGACCCCCAACCAAAAAGTTACACAGTGCACCTTTAAGTTGATGTCTAACTTTTTCCTTTCTTTTCTCTAATTCTGTTAATTTTTTATGGTTTATGCTTTTTTCTTCCTTTACTAAATATACAGAAAGTATAATTAAGACAATAATTATTCAAATGCTATATAAAAATGCTAAACGGGATATGACAGTTGAATTGTTTTACATCCCTCATTCGAAAGGGAAGTTTGCAAGGGGCTTATCCGTTACTTATGTTCTCAGGGGCTCCTTGAATTTTGTTTGCATTGTTTTATTGCATTGTTTTGCATCGTTTTGTTTTCATTGTTCCAACATGAGATTCAGTGAGGGGAATTCAGCACATTAAGAGTCTCTGCATGATGGCAGCGCTGGGTTAGTCAGGCTGGTGCCACCTAGTGCCTCCGCTCAATTTCATTTCTCTCCAGCGACTAGGTCAGGAATCAGAATACACTAGACACTTCGCAAAAACCCCGGAAGTGCGAGTTTGGGCACCAGCCAATCAGCGAAGAGCCATATATTCTGCTTTGGCAACAATTTCAGAGATCGAGGAATTAAAGCCGGAACAAAGAGAATATTTGTTTATCGAGGGGAAAGACGTTATTGCTCTTCTTCTTATGGGATTTGGGAAAAGCTTAATATACCAGTTAGCCCTGTTAGCAGCGCATTACACACGTCACGACCAAACAGCCACGACTGGTTAAATAAAAAAAGTACCCACCTACTGTCGAGTGAACGAATCTTAATGCTGTAAGGTCAGACGGTTTCCACAAAGTGAAACCGGCTGATGAATCAGGTTAGTGCTAGGCAGGGTCCCATCAGAAAATACATAAGTGGCTTGCCGTACATTGTAAGACAGGATCATAGATTGTATATACAACTCTTCTTTATATAGTCTACGGGCAGGACTTCTGGTGTGGGCTGGTATTATCCCAGAGCCTCTGGTGAATCCCATGGTGCAGTTTAAAGTGCACATATTGCACTGTTTTCTGATCTATGTCATTTCCTCATCAAAAACATACCTGGAGTTGTGTTTTGTTTCATTCACACATGTTTAACACACAAACCCTGCATTGCTCCACTGTGTTTTAAACTCCATACACCTTCACTAGAATAATTTGAATAATTTCAGACCTAGAATTGCCAATCTACTGAACATAAAGTAAAAGGTAGCTGTTAACTTGAAAACGCTTCATGACATCACAAGGTGGAATCGATCATTTTGATCTCTGGAGATGTAAACATACTAATAATAAAAGCGGAAATCAAACATTTGTGAATGAAACAAAACACAATTCGAGGATGTGTTTGAGGAGGTACAAATATTATAATACGCCTTAAAGCTCACAAGAGTCAATTTTGCGTCTAGGACCTTTAAATGAAGTACCTGCTTATCTTTTTTGCCAGAATCTGGAACTTAGGTAGTAGTAAGTAGGACTGAGGTTCTATTTTTTTGATACCCACACATATTCAGTATTGTTATTTTTTTACTCTTTATTTACTGTAATGTTGATGTTTGCTTGAGTAAAATCATTTGACTTAATTAAGTATTTTTCTTGTAAATAAATATCACAGACATTACGCATAATTTCACATAAGCAAAACTAAATTAAATACATAAACAATATAAATAAGGCATTAGTGTTATTTATTGGTGATAGAGGCAACAAGCAGGTCTGCTCTCTGGAGATGCACTTTGACTTCTCTACGGAGACACTGTTATCACCATGTAGCCTACGCTTTAAACTTTGTATTTATTATTATTATTATTTATTTAGGCCATAAACTTGATTTTATTCTGGCTTTATTTAAACAATTCTTGGTCGATTCAAGCCCCGGATAAACTTAAGGGTCTGACTTTTTCTGTGTTTTGAACCTGAGACAAAATGACAATTAGACAATTAGACGTTGACGTTGAGAAAGTCATCCACGGCGCTCTCGTGCCAGGACGCAGCGCTCTGGTCCTCCTCAAACAGGGACACAATCTCATCCAGAAGCTGCACCACAAATCTGATCCTCTTTTCGGCCTAGAATTACAAACCTTTACGTGCTCATTTAATTGTGTTTTGTTTTGTTGTATTTGTACATTTGTATTTGGCCTGTATTAACTCACCGGTGCGTTGGATGCGCGTCTGTAGAGCTTATTTGGGAAATGAACCGCCTCTTCAAAATCAGAGTCTTTACTGGAGAAATAGTTGTTCCCTTGGAACAAACTCACATGTCAAATATAAACAGCCTGTACCAACATTGTGCCATGTTACGTTTGATCACACGAACGTGCCACCGAGCCAAGACGCACCATGTGACTGACTAAACCGAAGGAAGAGTCTCTGTACTTGTCATATTTCTGCTCCACCCACGTGCATCTCAGGGCGGAGCCAGGCCCGACCAAAGCGATGAGTAACACCCTGAACATGATCTCCATGATAAAGGTGTGTCTCTGTACACTGTAGTGTGAGGCTGCTTTAATACACTGGACTTTCGGTTACCGACTTTTCGGTAAAAGAATTTCGGTTTGTCAGACGAAAATTTGCGCGTGGCAGCCGAGATTTAACTCGATTAAAGAAACCACAGAAGACAATGCACAGCAGACACACTGTTATCACCATGTAGACTTCACTTGAAACTTTGTATTTATTATTATTTTTCGTTTAGGCCATAAACTTGATTTTAGTCTGGCTTTATTTATAAACAATTCATGGACGATTCGAACCCCGAGTAAACTTAAGGGTCTGACTCTTTCTGGGGTTTGAACCTGAGACAAAATGACAATTATTGTGAGTAGAGCTGACATGGATTATTTACTGATTCTTTGGTCTTAAAGCCAGTCAAGTCACAAGACTCAAATGTATGAAACATTTCTCAGATTCATCCTCGAAGTAAGACAGCTAACAGGCAAAGGAGATCAAATTGAGTAAATAAATAGTTTATTTGTTCAATTAAATATAAATAAATATATAAATACATAAATAAGTCAATAAATAAAGCATAAGTGTCTTCAGTTGGTTTTGGCGGGGATCAAGAGGTCTGCTCTCTGGAGATGCAGTTTGACTTCTCTGCGGATCCATTCCCAGGCTTCTGCATTATGGCCCTAAAATGGAGGAAAACTAAATAAGAACGTTGCCCTAGAATTGATTTATTTTAAGGATTTTAAAAAATGTTCTAGTTGAAGATGCCATACCATTTGCTCGAGCAGAGTTGACAGTCTCTTGAAATACAAGCTCAGCTTCTTGTTCTTTCTTTTAGAGCTCTGGTTTGTCACCTGAACACAAGATTCCATCCATCCATCCATTTTCGTCCGCTTATCCGGGGCCGGGTCGCGGGGGGAGCAGCCTAAGCAGGGACTCCCAGACTTCCTTCACCCCAGACACGTCCTCCAGCTCCTCCAGGGGGACCCCGAGGCGTTCCCAGGCCAGCCGAGAGACATAGTCCCTCCAGCGTGTCCTGGGTCTTCCCCGGGGCCTCCTCCCGGCGGGACATGCCCGGAACACCTCCCGAGGGAGGCGCCCAGGAGGCATCCGGAACAGATGCCCGAGCCACCTCAACTGGCTCCTCTCGACGTGGAGGAGCAGCGGCTCTACTCCGAGCTCCTCCCGTGTGACTGAGCTCCTCACCCTATCTCTAAGGGAGCGCCCAGCCACCCTGCGGAGGAAACTCATTTCGAGCGCTTGTATCCGCGATCTCGTCCTTTCGGTCACTACCCAGAGCTCATGACCATAGGTGAGAGTAGGAACGAAGACTGACCGGTAAATCGAGAGCTTCGCCTTTCGACTCAGCTCCCTCTTCACCACAACGGTCCGATACAGCGACCGCATCACTGCCGAAGCTGCACCGATCCGCCTGTCAATCTCACGTTCCGTCCTTCCCTCACTCGTGAACAAGACCCCGAGATACTTGAACTCCTCCACTTGAGGCAAAGACTCCCCACCCACCCGGAGAGGGCAAGCCACCTTTTTCCGGTCGAGAACCATGGCCTCGGACTTGGAAGAGCTGATCTTCATCCCAGCTGCTTCACACTCGGCTGCAAACCGCCCCAGTGCACATTGCAGGTCCTGGTTCGATGAAGCCAACAGGACAACATCGTCCGCAAACAGCAGAGATGAAATCCTGTGGTCCCCAAACCGGACCCCCTCCGGCCCCTGACTGCGCCTAGAAATTCTGTCCATAAATACAATGAACAGAACCGGTGACAAAGGGCAGCCCTGGCGGAGTCCAACATGCACCGGGAACAGGTCTGACTTACTGCCGGCAATGCGAACACAGCTCCTGCTCCGGTCATACAGGGACCGGACAGCCCTTAGCAAAGGGCCCCGGACCCCATACTCCCAGAGCACCCCCCACAGGACACCACGAGGGACACGGTCGAATGCCTTCTCCAGATCCACAAAACACATGTGGACTGGTTGGGCAAACTCCCATGAACCCTCGAGCACCCTATGGAGAGTGTAGAGCTGGTCCAGTGTTCCACGGCCAGGACGAAAACCACACTGCTCCTCCTGAATCCGAGGTTCGACTATCGGCCGGATTCTCCTCTCCAGTACCCTGGCATAGACCTTACCGGGAAGGCTGAGAAGTGTGATCCCCCTATAGTTGGAACACACCCTCCGGTCCCCCTTCTTATACAGAGGGACCACCACCCCGGTTTGCCAGTCCAGAGGTACTGTCCCCGACCGCCACGCGATGTTGAAGAGGCGTGTCAGCCAAGACAGCCCCACAACATCCAGAGACTTCAGGTACTCAGGACGGATCTCATCCAACCCCGGAGCCTTGCCACCAAGGAGCTTGCCAACCACCTCAGTGACTTCGGCCAGGGTGATGGATGAGTCCGCCTCCGAGTCCCCCAGCCTCGGCCTCCTCCTCGGAGGACGTGACGGTGGGATTGAGGAGATCCTCAAAGTATTCCTTCCACCGCCGGACAACGTCCCCAGTCGAGGTCAACAGCTCTCCCCCCGCACTGTAAACAGTGTTGGTGAAGAACTGCTTCCCCCTCCTGAGGCGCCGGACGGTTTGCCAGAATCTCTTTGAGGCCGTCCGATAGTCCTTCTCCATGGCCTCCCCGAACTCCTCCCAGCTCCGAGTTTTTGCCTCCGCGACCACACGGGCTGCAGCACGCTTGGCCCGCCGGTACCTGTCAGCTGCCTCAGGAGTCCCCCGAGCCAGCAAGGCCCGATAGGACTCCTTCTTCAGCTTGACAGCATCCCTTACTTCCGGTGTCCACCACCGGGTTCTGGGGTTGCCGCCGCGACAGGCACCACAGACCTTACGCCCACAGCTCCGAGCAGCCGCATTGACAATAGAGGCCGAGAATGAAGCCCACTCGGACTCCATATCTCCGGCCTCCCCCGGAATCCGGGAGAAGTCCTCCCGGAGGTGCGAGTTGAAGGTCCCTCTGACAGAGGGCTCCGCCAGACGTTCCCAACAGACCCTCACTACACGCTTGGGCCTGCCAGGTCTTTCCGGCTTCCTCCTCCGCCAGCGAACCCAACTCACGACCAGGTGGTGATCAGTTGACAGCTCAGCCCCTCTCTTCACCCGAGTGTCCAAGACACGCGGCCGGAGATCAGATGACACGACGACAAAGTCGATCATCGACCTCCGGCCTAGGGTGTCCTGGTGCCACGTGCACTTATGGACACCCTTGTGCTCGAACATGGTGTTTGTTATGGACAAACTGTGACTAGCACAGAAGTCCAATAACAAAACACCACTCGGGTTCAGATCGGGGAGGCCGTTCCTCCCAATCACCCCTCTCCAAGTGTCACTGTCGTTGCCCACGTGGGCGTTGAAGTCCCCCAGGAGAACAACGGAGTCCCCGGTCGGTGCACTGTCTAGTACCCCTCCCAAGGACTCCAAGAAGGCCGGGTACTCTGCACTGCTGTTCGGCCCGTAGGCCGACACCACAGTGAGAGACCTGTCCCCGACCCGAAGGCGCAGGGACGCGACCCTCTCGTTCACCGGGGTGAACTCCAACACACAGCGACTGAGCTGTGGGGCAATGAGCAGGCCCACACCAGCCCGCCGCCGCTCCCCGCGGCCAACGCCAGAGAAATGGAGAGTCCAGCCCCTCTCAAGGAGTTGGGTTCCAGAGCCCAAACTGTGCGTGGAGGTGAGGCCGACTATATCTAGTCGGTAACGCTCAACCTCCCGCACAAGCTCAGGCTCCTTACCCCCCAGCGAGGTGACATTCCATGTCCCCAGAGCTAGTCTCCATGTCCGGAGATCCGGTCGCCGAGGCCCCCGCCGTCGACTGCTGCCCAGATCTCTCTGCACCGGCCCCATATGGATCCTCCTGCGGGTGGTGGGCCCACGTGAGGACGGCCCCACGTCGCTCCTTCGGGCTGAGCCCGGCCGAGCCCCGTGGGGGAGGCTCGGCCACCAGGCGCTCGCTGGCGAGCACCCACCCCAGGCCTGGCTCCAGGGTGAGGCCCCGGTGACGCCAATCCGGGCGACGTAACTGGCCTTGCTCGTACACTCATCATAGGGGCTTCTGAACCGTTCTTCGTCTGACCCGTCCCCCCGGACCTGTTTGCCTTGGGTGACCCT